CAAAAAAGGAGTGAAGGAACGTTCCTCCTCTTATTTCATTGGCTTTCTCATGCTGCAGGAAAAAAAAACTCCGAACAGATAGCAAACCAAGTATTAATACATTAATCTCCTTGAGCTGCAGATAAACAGTATGTTTGATGTTAAACTACAATCCTTGCTATTCACATGAAAGCTTGTCACTGAAAGATTAGAGATGCTGGACCGTATTTTCCTTTTCTAAAATCTTACTTCACTCAGAAGAAGGAGATTCAGCTAGGATGCAGCCTCTCTAGACTGCATGTCCAAACATGTTCTTTATTAGAACACTGTGGTCTGAAATCCGCCTATCTAGGCAGTTTTACTAAAATGCTCAAGGGATGAGCTACATCCACTGTTTGTATTAAGATGCTAGCTCCACCAAAAATCACTGGGTACCATCTGTTTTAATGTTTAATGTTTAATGTATTTATTTACCATACTTATATCCTGCCCTTCTCAACCCCAAAGGCGACTCAGAGCAGCCCTGCAAAGGCAACAATTCAATGCCGCTTGTACCCATATCATCAAGAAATAAACATACACATTAAGACATTAAAACCAACCAGTTAAAACATCACATTAAGCAACAATTTAAAATCACATAATCCAGCTCATAATCTAGAGCCTTGAAGTGACTGGCTTGACTCTGAAGAAGCTGGGGGTGGTGATGGCCAACAGGGAGCTCTGGTGTGGTCTGGTCCATGAGGTCACGAAGAGTCGGAAGTGACTGAACGAATAAACAACAACAATCCAGTCCAAGTCGTCAGTGTTAATTTATAGTCTCTTATTGCACTGCACCCATTACTGACCAAAGATCTAATTCCAAAGCCATGTTTTTATTTTTTCTGAAGACCAGGAGGGAGAGGGCCAATCTAATTTCATTCGGGAGGGAGTTCCATAGATGAGGGGCCACCACTGAGAAGACCCTGTTACTTGTCCCCACTAGTCGCACATGCATGGGGGGTGGAACCAAGAACAGGGCCTCCCAGAATGATCTTAGCCTCCAAGGTGGATCATAGAGGGAGATACATTTAGACAGGTAAGCTGGGCCGGAACCATTTAGGGCTTTATAGGCTAAAGCCAGCACTTTGAATTGTGCTTGGTAGCAAACTGGCAGCCAGTGAAGCTGACGCAACAGGGGAGTTGTACGCCACTATGGTGACCTGTACGCCGCTATGGTGAGCAATCTGGAAGCCACCCATTGGACCATCTGAAGCTTCCAAACAGTCTTCAAAGGCAACCCCATGTAGAGTGCATTGCAGTAGTCTATTCTAGATGTAACAAGAGCATGGACTATCATGGCCAAGTCTGACTTAATGAATCTCCTGATTCACAATATGAAAACTCTTCCATTCCCTTTTGAGAGTCTTGGATAAGAGGCACAGATGGAGAAGCTGGTAGTTTCTTGTTGTCCTGCTTGAATGGTAGAGGAGGTGGGAAGAACCTGGTCTCCACTCCTTCCTCTCCTATCAAAGTGTTGACAAGAGGCCACCAAGGCTAAACTGATGGATTGGAAGAACTTTCCACAGAAAAGCTTACTGTGAGCAGAAAGCTGGGTGGGTTTTATCAAAGGGGGAGTGGACTGGCTCTAATGTTTTAGCTGCAATACTGTGGTCTGGTCTGGCACAGAAGGAAGTCCAGCAGGGTGACATTGTGAGTTACCACATTGGGTGACACCAACCTTAGTGGTGCCACTGAAGTTTTGTAGCAGAGGGAGAAAATTATCTTCTCAAACCTATAACTCCCAGAGGTTTTTCCTCTATGACCACTATGAGATTCTGGGATTGTCAAGATCTTTGTATTTACATCTCCTTCTATGTACCAGTGCGGGCTCAGAGATCTGCCGGGGAGGCCCTCCTCTCGGTCTCAAGCACGGTTGGTGGGGATGAGAGTGAGGGCCTTCTCAGTGGTGGCCCCCTGGCTTTGGAATGCCCTCCCAAAAAAGATTAGATTAGATTAGCTCCTACTCTCCAAGTTTTCCGAACAAATTGGAAAACTTAGTTCTTCAAAGAGGCCTTGTTTAGGAATTATTTAATGATTATACCTGAGGACTTAGCTATTGTTTCACCTTAGCACTTTATGGGGCTGATATTAATCACAGTTTATTTTATATATTTTTATATCTGCAGTCATTGTTGCATTTTATTGATTTTTAACTAGTAGGGTTTTATGGCGTACTATTTGTTATAGTTATCGTACTATTTTTATGCACTTGCTGTAGTTGTATGTTTGCACTATTGAGTGCTTTTGTGAGTTGTCTCGAGCCCCTTCGGGGAAATGGTGGTGGGATATAAATAAAGGTTTGTTTATTTTTTTTTTACAATTATTATTATATTATTACTATGTCTAGTTAGGTTGTGAAACAGCATGAAAACTGTGTACATCAGTGCAACTCAAAAGTAGTGATCTATGAATTGGTAACTTTCCACAGTAACTTTCCACGAAAGAAGAATCCGTTGTAGTCAAATGTGATATCAGTCTTTGGACTATTAGGGGGAAATAGCTGGTCAGAAAGTTTGAAGAAAACTGCTACAACATCCATTTCTTTTTGGACAATTAAACAGACTTTTGTAGCTAGATCAGTGATTCTCGACCTGTGGGTCCCCAGATGTTTTGGCCTTCAACTCCCAGAAATCCTAACAGCTTGTAAACTGGCTGGAATTTCTGGGAGTTGTAGGCCAAAACACTTGGGGACCCACAGGTTGAGAACCACTGAGATAGATTCTGATTCTCTGATATTACAGTGCTCACATATTTTGATGGGGAGAGAGGGACAAATATAGTTTGCAATGAATGGGCTTTCAAAATAAGGGAAGGGTCTTACTGTACAGATGCTCAACATGTGTAGTCCGTCTCGCAGCATATTGCTGCAGTCAGGCCCATAGCCAGGATTTTGATTCGGAAGGGGGGGGGGGGACGGGGCTCAGGATCTATCATAGCAAACCTTTTGTATCATTATCCCAATACCCCCATGCATATGAGATATACTGAGCATGGTGATCAGATCATGATATGAATAAACATAACAGTTTAAATAATGTACCAGTAAGGCCTTCTCGCGGACCACCATGAGAATTTGGGGGGGGGGGGGGCTGGAGCTCCCGGACCTGGCTGCCGTGAGCAAAACTTTGATCAATAAATGTCTATTTGTCACTCCATCGGGCTGCTATGAGTTTTCCAGCCTGCATGGCTATGTTCCAGAAGCATTCTCTCCTGACGTTTCACCCACATCTATGGCAGAGGTTGAGGGGTCTGTTGGAAACTAGGCAAGTGGGGGTTATATATTTGTGCCATGTTCAGGGTTGGAGAAAGAACTCTTGTCTGCTGGAGGCAAGTGTGAATGTTGCAATTGGCCACCTTGATTATCATTGAGTAGCCTTGCAGCTTCAAAGCCTGACTGCTTCCTAGCTGAACACTTCCCTCAAACAGGCAAGAGTTCTTTCTCCCACCCTAGACATTCCACAGATATACAAAACTCACTTCCATAGTTTCCAACAGACGTCACAACTTCTGAGGGTGCCTACCATAGATGTGGGCGAAACATTAGGAGAGAATGCTTCTGGAACATAGCCATACAGCCCGGAAAACTCACAGCAACCCAGTGATTCCGACCATGAAAGCCTTCGACAACACAATAATGATGATGATAAGAAGTGTTGGACTTTCTGTTACCATATGAATTATTTTCATGATTCCAGTCATGAAAGCCTTCGACAACATATTGTCACTCCACTCTTCACACTACTGGATCCTTCATTGTGCAGCTTGAGGGATGTGATCTTTTCCACATTTTAATGGTCCTGATTTAACTCAATACACTTACATGTGTGTGAAAGAAAGGATTCTTGTCATCTAAAGCATTTTCTTTGTCAGAGACAAAATATTCAGTGTTGTGTGGATCTAGGTTGTTAGCTTCCTTGGTGCATTTGGCTGCCGAATGTACATTGCGGCTGGCGACGGCTGCAAATCCGGAGAGAGCTGGTGCCAATTCTAGGGGCATTTTTTTGCTATGCACAGATTCCCCTTATAGGCCACGAACGATTCTTGGCACTGGCACACAGGGATTTCAAAATGCATGGGAAACAAGATAGTAATCCTACCAAAGACTTTCAGATCTCTTTTAAGAGAATCCCGGAGGGCCTCCAGGTTCCACACCTTGCTCTGACAGGTGCCAGCCCTGAGTGCTTAATAGGCACGGCCTCTTCCCAGTTTCTGAGCCTGAGGAGGCCTGGCAAGCCAACTCGACTCGCGTAATTGGAGAGAAGGGTACAAAGCCAGCTTTCGCTAAATCTGAGAATGTGGTGGGTGACTTTCACACGGTTTTCGGAGGCATAGAGATCTTGATTCAGTCCAGAGCGACACAACAAAATGGGGCAACAGAATTGGAAGGGTCAACAAGATACATCTAGTTCAGGCCTGGGCCAACTTGGGCCCTCCCTCCAGGTGTTTTGGACTCCAACTCCCAGCATTCCTAACAGCCTCAGGCCCCTTTCTTTTCCCCCTCAGCCGCTTAAGCGGCTGAGGGGGAAAAGGAAGGGGCCTGAGGCTGTTAGGAATGCTGGGAGTTGGAGTCCAAAACATCTGGAGTGAGAGCCCAAGTTGGCCCATGCCTGTTCAAGACTGTTGTCGTTTGACAAGACCTTTTAGCCCTCTCTGCCAAAGAACTAGGTGCTGTAGCTTGGTCAGCACCGGCACTTTTTCGTAGAGAGAGATGCAGACCTTGCAAAACTACAACTCCTAGGGCTCCAGCAGCGTCAATCAAACTGCATTCATTCTGCAGCGCTGCAGATGCAATTGCCGCAGGCGCTTGGGCGCGAGCCTGGGAAGGAGGGGGAGGAGGAGGGGCGGGGCTTGGGAAGGTAGTATGTGTATCGTGACAAAGCGCGGCAGGGACGTTCTGTGGAAATTCCTGGGCGGGGCCAAAAGCAGCCAGACCACGCCCCTTTCGCGCAGAGGGGGCGGGGCCTCGCCGCCTATATATATAGCCCTGCGGTGGAATCTGGAGCTCAGAACTGTCGAAAGAGGGGAGAGAAGGAGAAGAGAAGGAGAAAGGAGCTTTACGGGAGGTGAGCGGCTCTATTGCTTGGGAAGGCTTCATATTTTGCTGTCGTTGGTTCCCCCGCATAGGGGTTGCTTTGCAAGCTCTACAGAGGACAGCTTGGGATGTATATTATATATATATTGTCGTAGGCTTTCATGGCCGGAATCACTGGGTTGTTGTAGGTTTTTCGGGCTGTAGTCTATGTTCTAGAAGCATTTTCTCTTGACGTTTCGCCTGCATTTATGGCAGAGGTTGTGAGGTCTTTTGGAAACTATGTATGTATGTATATTATGTATGCATGTGTATATATATTATTTCTATGTTTATTGATGTGCCCTCCTCAGCTCTCCCTAAACTCTCCCCCCCCCCCCCAATACCATTATAAGTAGTATGACTTTCGGGTTGCTGTGTGTTTTCCAGGCTGTATGGCCATATTCCAGAAGCATTCCCTCCTGACGCTTCGCCTGCATCTATGGCAAGCATCCTCAGAGGCTGTGAGTTATCACTTTCGCCTTGACATCCTTTCTATTTCCTCTCTTTGACGGGGTTAATTTCTCTCTCTTTGTGTGTATATAGATAGTGTGTGTACACACACAGAAATATTATCCCCATCAAAGGGAGGAAATAGAAAGGATGTCAAGGCGAAATATATATTTTCTCTCTGTGTGTATGTATGTATACACACATATACATACACAGAGAGAAATATAAACCCCATCAAAGGGAGGAAATAGAAAGGATATCATGGAGAAATATATACAATATTGTTTTTATTGTTTCTACTGTTTTTATATGACTTATATTACATGTTAACGTTTTTACTTATATTTATGTGTGGGGCATTGATTGCCGACTGTAAACCGCCTTGAGTCGCCTTCGGGATGAGAAAGGCAGTATATAAATATGGCAAATAAATAAATATATTCTCCCCTTGGGACGAAGCATCTTGTCCCTTTCCCCCCTGTGTGGACTGCTCCTCCAATTCCCTTTTATGTCGGAGGAGAGGACTGGTCCTTGGTCCTTCATTAGGCGATGTTTGGCTTCCCTTTCCACCTGTCCTCCCTTTCCAGGGCGCCTTTTCCCTCCGTATTTTCCCCCTCGACACCTTTGACCAACCTGTCGCCTTGAAAACGAGCCAGATCCCCCCAAAAGGTTGCTTCAATCCAGCGGCCAAACCCGCGTATGGCGGTCATGCCCATCGCAGGAGGAGGAGGAAGCTGACCTCACCTTTTTCTCAGCCTCCCCCCCCCCTTGACCCCAATGGTAGCAGCCGCTTTGTTCGAAGAGACTTGGAATGCGCGCTCAGGAATTGGGCTGTCCCATTTGTTCAGGGTTGGGGGGGGGGGGGCGAGAGAGACGCGGTAGGTACTCATCTATAGACCACACAGAGCAGGCATGGGCAAACTTCGGCCCTCCAGGTGTTTTGGACTCCAACAGCCGCAGGCTGTTAGGAATGGTGGGAGTTGGAGTCCAAAACACCTGGAGGGCCGAAGTTTGCCCATGCCTGCTCTGTGTGGTCTATAGATGAGTACCTACCGCGTCTCTCTCGCCCCCCCCCCAACCCTGAACAAATGGGACAGCCCAATTCCTGAGCGCGCATTCTGAAGAGCTGCTGTCTGAAGAGCTGCTGTCGCCGGGGCAGTTCCCCTGCCTGGCCACACGGGGCGCTGTGGAGTCTCCGGGAAGGGGAGCTTGCCAGGGCATGTCCTGCCTTTGGACTCCAGGGAGGGGGGAGTGTTGCCTGTGCTGCCGCCGCCTGTGACTCAGGGTGACGGTCGCTTTCCTGGGGCTGAGATCAGAGTCTGGGCCCAGGGTTGGGCTCAGGGAATGGAAGAGGAGGAGGAGGAGGAGGAGGAGGAGGATGCATAAGCAAGAAGCAGAAGCATCCATTCGCCTTGGCTTGACGAAGGCAGGAAAAAGCGGGAGGGAGGGAAGTGCTGCTGCTGCTGCTGTTGCTGTGCTGCTGGGTGGGACTCGGAAGGCGCACGAGTTCTCTTGACTCCCCGCCAGACCCGCGATGTTCTCTCGCGCTTTGCTTGGGAACTCCGTGTTCCCGACTTGACTTGGGATCTTGTTGTTGTTGCTGCTGCTGCTGCTGCTGCCGCCGCGCGCACACACTCGACCCAAGTATTTTTTTTTCTTATTAGGGCAAGAAGCACTGCACAGAACTCGCTGCTCGTTTGGCACTGCTAAGGCTCCCTTGCTAGAATTGTCATTTCCTTCTGATGAAATGCACTGCCCCCCCCCCGCGTATCCGCGGATTCGGTATCCACGACTTGAATATGTATTTAATTATATATCTTCTCTGTATATGGATTGATATATAATTATAATATAACTATAATGTTAATATCGACCTAATATTAATACAATACACAATTATCATATAATATAACTATAATATTAATATTGACATAGTAATAATACAATACACAGTTATAAAATAATATCGACATAATACAGCACACAATTATAATATAACTATAATATTAATTCGACATAATACACTGCACCATTATAATATAATATTAATAACGACATAATATTAATACAGTACACAATTATAACATAACTATAATATTAATATCGACATAGTAATAATACAATACACAATGATAAAATAACTAATATCAACATAATATTAATACAGCACACAATTATAATATAACTATAATATTAATATTGGCATATTAATACAATACACCATCATAATATTAATAATGACCTAATATTAATACAGTACACAATTATAACATAACTAATACTATTAACGATATAATACATCATTATAATATAATATCTACATAGTAATAATACAATACACAATTATAATATAACTATAATATTAATGGATTGACCTTGAAGGAGCTGGGGGTGGTGACAGCCAACAGGGAGCTCTGGAGTGGGCTGGTCCATGAGGTCACAAAGAGTCAGAAACGACTGAAGGAATGAACAACATAATATTAATATTGACATAATAAATAAACAATTATAGCTATATATAATATTAACATCATACAAGACAACATTATAATATTAATATAATGGATAATTATAATATAACTAAAATTAATAACTATATAATAATAGAATATATAATTATAATATAACTATAATAATAACATAATATAACACATGATTACAATCTAAATATCTAAAGTAATGTAATTATAAATATAATCTATAATAGAAATATATAATAATACACAATAATATAATCAGAATAAAATATGATATAATAAGAGTTGGAAACAACTGAATGAACAACAAATATAAAATATGAATATAATTGGCACCAACGACTTGAATATGTATAAATTATACATCTAACTATAATATCAATATCAATATAATATACATAATTATAATCTAAATATCTAAAATAATACAAATGCAATAATAAGTAATAATCTAATTTGATATATAATGCAATACAAAATATAATTACAATAAAAATTAAACAGATGCTGGATGGCCATTTGTCAGGGGTGATTGAATGCAATTTTTGTGCTTCTTCCCAGAGGGCTGGGGGTATCTTCCAACTCTATGATTCTATATGATATGATATAATATAAAGCCAATAATAGAATAAATATAAATAATTATGAATATAAGAATACAAAAATATGGAAATAATATGAACATAATTATAATATAAATCCCCACAAATTCACCTGTTTTTTCTCTGGGTCCAGAGCACACTATGAACCCAAACAATGATGGGTCTGGACCAAAGTTGGCATGTGTTTCACCTGTTTTGAGTAAAAACAACCATAGGTTACTGGGTTGCTGTGAGTTTTCTGGGCTGTATGGCCATGTTCCAGAAGCATTGGCCATACAGCCCGGAAAACAACCCAGTGATTCCAACCATGAAAGCCTTCGACAACACATTGATCCATAGGTTATATAGCTCGGTTTACTTAAACAGACCCTTCAAGTAAAGTGTGTGTGTGTATTACAACTATAATATAAAATTATATAAATATAATTATAATATAAATATTGATGTAAAATATAATACAAAAATACAACTACAATTGAAATATGAAAGCTGGAATGTGTCCAGAGGAGGGTGACTAAAATGATCAAGGGTCTGGAGAACAAGCCCTATGAGGAGTGGCTTAGGGAGCTGGGCATGTTTAGCCTCCAAAAGAGAAGGCTGAGAGGAGACATAATAGCCATGTGAGAGAAAGTCATAGGAGGAGGGAGCAAGCTTGTTTTCTGCTTCCCTGGAGACTAGGACGTGGCGTAGAACAATGGCTTCGTACTACAGGAAAGGTAATTCCACCTGAACATTAGGAAGAACTTCCTGACTGTGAGAGCCATTCAGCAGTGGAACTCTCTGCCCGGAGTGTGATGGAGGCTCCTTCTTTGGAGGCTTTTAAACAGAGGCTGGATTGCCATCTGTCAGGGGTGCTTTGAATGCAATATTCCTGCTTCTTGGCAGGAGGTTGGACTGGATGGCCCATGAGGTCTCTTCCAACTCTATGATTCTATGAAATGATATAATTAACATTTTATAATAGGTCTATTAGACATATTTACAACAGGTATATGCCTATTGAGAATATCAGACAATAGATACTAACTTATCAGAAAAAGCACTGACAGGAAACTAATCTGTGTCTTGGGGATGGAGCGTAGATGGGATAACTTAGATTTTTATACTGTGATTGATACTTTACTGTGATGTTGTCTATAATGTGTAAAATAATAATAAACTGAACCTTTGTAAGATTTCTGTTCCAATTTCCAAGCAGTGGGTTGTCGGGGTTTATTTTTTTAAACCCCTTCCTTAACGAGTTGGGGCGTGGTTGGCCAAAAACCTAGTAAGTCTGAAGCAAGAAAACAAAGTCAGGTTGCGCAACTCCAGGGGCGGCGGCACGTGACGCGCGCAGTGGGGCCAGGTGACGTCATCGCGGGGGGGGGGCGACGGGTGTGAGTGCCTCGCGCGCCTCCTCCCTTTTACGATAAAAGCCAAACGTCTCCTGTCTTTGCGCATGCGCGCTCTCGCCAGCCTTCCTCCTCCTCCACTGCTGACTTCCAGGCAGGGAAAATTAAGTCACCAAGCGGGCAGGAGCTTTTATGACTGGGGTTGCAATGCTTTTGAAATACTGGAAGTTTGCTCTCCCCCCCCCCCCTCTTTTTCCCCCAATGACTACTGTTCCAACCGTGGATGACCTACATTGGGATTGCTTGGCTATTAACATCAACAAGCCAATACACTAGCTAGAGAAGGCCCGGGCCAACTTAGGCCTTTCCTCCAGGTGTTTTGGACCCCAACTCCCAGCATTCCTAACAGACTAAGGCGCTTGCCTTTTACCCCTCAGCCGCTTAAAAAAAATACACCTTGACATTTGGGAACTGTAGTTGCTGGGATTTATAGTTCACCTACAATCAAAGAGCATTCCAAAGCTCACCAATTATAGAATTGGGTCAAATTTTCCACACAGAACCTCTATGACCAACAGAAAATACTGTGTTTTCTGATGGTGTTTGGTGACCCCTCTGACATCCCCAGGTTGAGAAACGTTGCCCTAGGGGGACTCAAAGTGGTTCACAACAAAGTAAATGGCAAAATTCAATGCCCCACAAAATATAAAACAGAACACTATTATTATTATCATCATCATCATATAATAAAAACCAGTAACTATAAGACATCAAACAAAAAAAAAACCCAACTTAACATAGAACATTGGACATTGCACCAATCCCAAAGTTATCTTGACTGCTTCATCTCAGTCTCCAAATGTTTGCTTAAAAAGCCATGTTTTGAATAATTTCCTGAACATCAGAAGGGAGGGAGCTGATCTGATGTCACTGGGGAGGGAGTTCTCCAGCCAAGGTGCCACCACTGAGAAGGCCCTGTCTCTCATCTCCACCACCTGCGAAGAGAGTGGGACCGAGAGCAGGACCTCCTCAGCTGATCTTAATGCTTTAACTGGCTCATAGAGGGAGTTGTGTTAGGATAGGTAAGCTGGACTGGGACCGTTTAGGGATTTATAGGCTAAGGCCTGCACTTTGAATTGTGCTCAGTGGAGCACAGAAATGGCTTGAAGGCTTACTACCACAACAGCAGGGTAAATATAGGCAAGTGTTATGACTTAGGGAATGGCCATTACTCTTCTCCCCCTTGGAGGAACTGGAAGTCCTGGTTTCAATATAGAAGATCCCAAATGCTAGTTATAGGAAGAGTTGCACTTCTATTTTGAAATCACAGAGTGGTAGTAGATAATGGTTACAGTAAAAAATTTAACATTTTTAAAGCTTCACCGGGAGTTGAAGTGTGGAAGCTCTGAAACTTTATGATCAGCAGGATTGACAGCAGTATCTACCAGCCAGTTTGGACTTTCTGCCCCTTTCTCTTCTAGTACAAGTGTTTTTCAGGCAGCATTTAACTGTTTTCATGTTTGGGGAAGCGCTTGGTTTTCAATGAGTAATTAAGACCCATTGGTTTATACAAAAGACATATTCCTGGCAAAGGTAAAAACTGACCAAACTTCTTTTTGGGTGGAATAAATTGCTAACATTTGTATACTTTTGGGTGGGGCTGTAGGAGTTGTCATGATGAGTAAGGATGATATCTCAAATATTACTAATTCAGTTACCTTTGAGTAGGACTGAGGCACTCTTGTCTGAAACTGCAGAGACCTAAAGCCAGTCACTAACCTGTACTTACACAGATGGATGAATTTTATATGAAGAAGCACTGAGCTTCCAGTGGAGTTGTAACAGACAATAGTTCAACAGGTACACTTCTCAGGTGGAGGTAAATCTGTGAAGAAACCCCTTATGTAGTGGTTCTCAAACTGTGGGTCCCCAGGTGTTTTGGCTTACAACTCCCAGAAATCCCTGCCAATTTACCAGCTGTTAGGATTCCTGGGAGTTGAAAGCCAAAACATCTGGGGACCCACAGTTTGAGAACCACTATCCTTGGCCTGTGCATTTGCCCACTGGAAAAAGCAGCTTCCCTGGCCATTAAAAGCACCATGATTACGTGATTGCTCTGGAAATCACATCCAAAGACTGTCCTTCTAGACTGAGGACATAAAACCATAAGGAAAGCACCTAAAACCAGTTGCAAAGGTTGATTGTCAGTCTGTGATCAGCTGGCTGGCATATGTTTGCATGTACGCATACCTATGTGCTAAAGTTCAGTGTATTGCATTTTTATTACTTCTTTGAATTTATATCCCACCTTTACAAACAGTGTCCAAGACTGCTGAAAGTCATAGGATTAAAACTATGAGATGGTAATGACAATGTCAAAGCTCTTCTCAGCTGTTCTTTGTCCTTGCTCATGGCAGCTATTCTGCCATATAAATGCTGCTCATGGTGGGGCCAAAGTTTGTAGAACAAGTGCAACTGTGAGAATTGGAGGTGCCTAGCAGGCACTTTGCTCCAGTGGCTTGAAGTGGTGACTCAACAAGTTATCAAGTTGAGTCCTGTCTTTGGCAGAAATGTTACCTGTCAGGACTTGTTCTGTTACGCCTGAAACTCCCAATGAGGTCATTCGACATAGCTGTTTATAAAGGGTGCATGAAGACACTTGCTATTTTTAAACAGCTTTGTTTCTCGCTTGTAGCCTGAACATTGATGGAAAGGCAGCGTTATCAGACCAGTTGGCCAATAGAGATGGTTGTGAGCTGGAAAAGTGCTACCCAAATGAGATGTAGGCTGATGGTGGCATGGAAAAACATTGGGCTAAACTTGTGGTTCCCAACCTTTTTTTGACCAGGGGCCACTTTTTAACATTAGTACCAAAAGGGTACAAATCGGTTTTTGGTCAACTTTAGCTTCAGTTTGGTTATTTGGGGTGCTGATTGCATTGGATACACTGCATCAGCTCTAGTTTCTGATACAGAACATATGCCATCCAGTCATGACCATCTGCTCACCCAGAAAAAGCCATATTTAATAAGCCTCAGCACTATGAGGGTTTCACGAGACTAGTTGCTCTTGTTGCAGTGGTGCAGTAATGGTGATGCTGTGGACCATATTTTAGTTCTTGAGGACCACTGGTGGTCCCCAGACCACAAGTGGGAACCTCTGGGCTAAACAAAACAATGATCTGGACAGTGGAGTTTTGATAAACACCTTGGTGGACCCAACCTTCTGTACACAAGCTATGCATATTCACAATTGACATTGAAGGTTGCTTTTAAGAGACTTAAGCTGGTGTGACTATATGCATTGACTAAGGCAGAGGTTCTCAACTTGTGTGTCCCAGGTATTTTCGCCTACAACTCCCAGGAATCCCGCCCAGTTTATCAGCTGTTAGGTTTTCTGGGAGTTGAAGGCCAAAACATCGGGGGACCCATAGGTTGAGAACCACTGAACTAAGGGATTACATTGGGGGTGCTTTGAACTCAATTGTCCTGCTTCTTGGCAAGCGGTTAGACTGGATGGCCCACGAGGCCTCTTCCAACTCTATGACTCTATGATTGCTTTGCAGCATCTGATCTATGCTAATGACATTTCATCACTGAAAATGGATGAAAGTTGTGGTCTGGTGGCAAAGTGTGTGCTTCTAACAATGGGGTTGAGAACACTCTTGTCTGAAGTGTGGATATTTGGGTGATCTAGCATGACAAGGGAGGACAGGAAAACCCAGCTCCTTGAGAATTGGATGTACTGAAACCACAGATCTGAAACCAGCTGTGTAGATTTATCAGCATATGAGTCACTAGCAACCTTTGGTGCCTCAGGCTATCCACACCTGTTAGAAAATGGTTAATCTACCCATGCATATATACAGAACAGGCGGGGTTTGGCACTGTCAATGCTAAAAGGCCATGTGTAGTGTAATATTGAATGTGTTTGCCCAGGAATAAGTCCCACTGGGCTAAATGGAGATAATTCCCCTAGCAATGGTGTTTAAAATTGCAATCCTAAACATAATTACACATGGAGTACCTCTACAGCTGTACGCTTTTCAAAACCTGTGCTTAATTGTAATCTTATGTTTCCAACACAACTGTGAGTGGAATTTTCAGATAGAATTCCTCTTACTCTTTGAGTCCTTCTGATCTGGGCAAGTGTGAAAAACATCTTCAGTATCTTATTAAGAATGTTAACAGTATTTAAAACTCATCTAAACTATGTGTGAAAGTATGGATGTCACCGGCAAGCTCTTTCAGTAACAGAAGCATTCTACTGCTTTCAGCTATTGGATAACTCTATTTTCTTTCAAAAGCTGGTGTCAAAGGCCAAGCAAGGATTATGTGCCTCCCCCCGGCACCCAGTGATGTTGAACTGTATCTCCAATGAGCCAATACTGTACTGAAGAATGCTGCAAATTGCAATCCAAGATCTGGAAGGATGCACAATTTGCATTCACAGCTGGGGACTGGGATATCAGGAGAGACCGCATTTCCCTTATGTGTTGCTGTTCTCACATAAAGGCCTTGCTTTCATTCTTGTCATTAGAGGTACAGTGGGAAGTGATCCAGGTCAGTCTCTCCTGGCATGACAAGTGGCTTTGGACAGTGATTTTCTTTTTAAAATATTTTCTTAATTGCTAATCTTAGAACAAAATATAGTATTTAATATATACATCAATACTCTAGAGAGATTGTAAATGTTCCTTATCTTCTTTTCAGCTAGAAACATGCCTCTGTCTGAGAGTAATATCCAACGACCTTCCTGCAGCAAGAAAATCTGTAGAAACCTCTTTGGAGCTGTGGACCATGAACAGCTTCGGAAAGACTTCCAGATCTTGCTGAGGGCCCAGCTGGAGGAGGCACAGCAAAAGTGGAACTTTGACTTTGAAACAGAAACCCCACTTGAAGGCAACTACAAATGGGAGAAGGTCTCCCACCTACACACACTTCCATCTCAAGACCTGAAAAGCCACACAAAGGAGAACACGTGCACTGGGGAGAAAAGCTTGAACTCCCCTGTGGCCCTCAAGAAACCTGCAAAGACGGACAGTCTGCCACAGGTGGGCTTTGAGGCTTGCACAGCTGACTCTTCAAGAAGTTTGAAGCGAAAGCAGACATCCATAAAAGGTACAAATTGGTCATCATTCTTTTCCCAAAGTAAGACCTGAAACCCCACTTCTTTCACGTTTTGAGGTGAAAGAATATTCACGTCCTGAATATTATGTGCAAAGCTAGGGAATATATTCCTTAATTTAATTAAACTGCAGTGGAAAATGTTAAATACAGTGGCATATCATTGAACAAATACTGAATGCGAGTGAATGTGTAGTATTCACATGTTATACCAGATTAAATACAGGGTATCTTGACTATATTCAGCACATTTCAACATAATTCATAAAGCAGGTGAATAGGAGGGATTCCTTTGAGTTTCTATTCCTGCCATTCAGCTAAAGGAGTCTTGCATGGCTGGCGAGAGCAACTAAAATCACAGATAAGGCTTTTGTCTTGGAATATATGCATCTATAGTAGTATCTCTAGGTACTTTCACACAGCTGAATAAAATTCCACATTTTCCACTTTGAACTAGATTATAGGGCAGTGTGATAACCCAGTTTAAAGCAGATATTGTGGGATTTTCTGCCTTGATATTCTGGGTTATATGACTGTGTGGAAGGGCCCTCTGAGTGAGGCAATGAGATCTCCAAATGTTAAGAGGAAATTAGGTTCTGGGTAGTTAAAGGCAAAGCTCTATGTGACCTTTCCTGATGGAAAAAAATCCACTGAAGTTCTTGGGATCTACTTTTAGTAACCACTTACACTTTAGTTGTCCTGAAATCTCTTGAGTAGATTAGTCTTTGCTAGGAATACCTCCCAGCATTCTGCTCTGGTCTTTCTATTTGGAGGTTCAGTTTGTCTTTATTCTCTTTTCCAGACTTCTACAACTCAAAGAGGAGAACAATCCCATATAAGTCAAGCCCATGAAGACTACACTACAAGCAAAATGTTTCTATGCAGTCTCCTAGCTGAAAGTCTTCACTGTTGTTTGCTGGCATGAGCCTATTTGGACACAACACCCAGTGATGTCACCAAGATGGCTATTTGAAGGAGCAGCTAAGCAAGTTCACAGTCCTGCTCTGAAGACTCTTCTGGGCTTCTTAGATTTCATAAACTATATAGTGGACTAGTATAACACTTCAGAAGGATGTAGAATTTTTTTTACAGCACTGGATATTTATGTGCAATGGAACATTGTGAGACCTCACGTTAAAACAGACTTTATACATTTTCTGGGGAGAGCAACTGCAAGGGAATCTCGTGTGAGGGGGTCCAATTAATAATATCAAGGCAGATTCTGCCTCATAGTTCAGCCACTTGCTTGTTTTCATTTACCTGCCTTCAGGCAAAAGATTGCACGTGGTATGAGCCATTTTGCAAGATCTAACATCCAGACATTTCTGAAAGGACAATACTTTTCCAGCTCTGTGATCATGTTGGTTGACATACTCTTTAGTTAAGCAAACAATCTGAGAGTGGAAAAGAACTGAATTGTATTGTTCTGTAGGAAGTGATTTTTTTTCTATTATGGTGAGTAGTAAATACTTACCTAGCCATATGATCACATATGAATACCTTTCGATAGGATCAGGATTCACTTGAACCTGATAATGTAGAGTGTGCAATTGCTTTGGCAGCTCCTCTCACAGGCAGCTTAAATTTAATTTTGTTATTCAACTACTCTCATGGGCAGCTCAAACTTAATTTTGTTCAACTGTCCAAAATACTGCTAAGCCAAAGCCCACGTAGGGGAACTTTTCTGAAGGGGAAAGTGAATCTGTGGGAACTACTAACTGATTTTATTGGCTTCTACCAACACTCTGCTTTGAGCGCGCTGTCATAAACACTCTTTGATTCTTTTGACATTCTAAACTTCCTGCATGTAACAGAGTAACATAATAAGCAAATGAAAAAACTTCAGGGTTTGTTTTACGTGTGTGCTAGCAAAGATTGATATTGCATACCCTTTGACTTTCTTTTCCTTAATTTCTGTGCTGTGGAGCAGTCATGGCTGAAGATGAGTCAAAGCTTATAATTCATACTTTCTGTGACTACCTGTGTCCTTGCTAGCAGTCCTCAAAAGATGGTACATTTACAAACTGGCAATTACACTGCTTAAAGCTGCAGTTTAAGTACTTCATGTTGAGATAATCCAGAGGATTTCCATTTAAAATGGAGAGGTTTGCATCTGTCACAGTTTTGCAACCAGAAGCTTTTTGTCAAATCTTCTTTCATTTTACCAGTACGAGGCACAACATTGGGACACTAGAATCTGAAATTCTGGTTTTACAAACTAAAATTCCAGCTCTAAAATGGCAAGATCAGAGCCAGATCATTGTGTCTACTATTCAGCTCATTGTTAAGGGGGCTTCCCCATTGTGACACTAGATATAGTTTTCCACTTTCCAGATTTTGTAAGCCCAGATGTTGTGCTTTATTAGAAGGATGGAAAAAGTCTAGAGCTGCACACCATATCACAGTATCTGTACTGTAGCAGGGAGGAGTGGGTGGGAATCTTATAGTTTTGTGGAAAGATTCTGCTAGTGGTACAGCTTATTTATACAGTTCTACCTGTGACTATGGACGTAGATGCGTGTGTGTGCTTCACGGGGCTTCCTTTGCTTTCATGTTCCTACATCAAAAAGGGAGTGAGATAAATAGGTAGCAAGACCTGTTGGGTCACAAGCCTGAGAAAAGGGAGAGGACCGGGGAACGGCAATGCAGAAGAAGAGTTCAATGTTATAGATGTAATACATTGGAATACCTAAAATATTAATAACCTAGATAATCAGACGAGCCACAAAACCTCAGTTGGTTTAACTGGTGAGGCCAAGGTGGCAGAGTCTCTACAAGGATGGATTTATGAGTGTACTTGCCAGACTGAAAAGGCCATTTTGGGGGGAAGCAGGTTGATCTATATCGTACAGATAATTGTGCGGTGTAAGATTCATCCTGTTAGTAGCACAGATTCAGGCACTTTATTAATATAATAAGTATGGTCTGCTGATTCTTTCTTTTTTGTTGTTAGAGCAGCCATGGGCAGGGCCTGGCCACTTTACCCATTGCACTTTTACATTCAGGGTAACGCTAGGACACTTCAGCACTAATCCATTTTTTTTGTGTGAATATGATGCTGCTGAACTGACAGATTAAGCTTTGGGCTTAAAATAAAGCCACTTAATAATGGAGCAATGCTTTTGTCTGGTGTGAGTTTCATGGTGCAATCTTTGTGTAGAGTTGAACAAATCTTGAATGTTATAATAATACATTTTATTCATTACCCACTTCTCCCAATGTGGGACACAACAAATTAAAAAACACATGAACATAAAAATACAATAAATCACTAAATTTCATACACACACACGTGAAAACTTATACCAAACACAGCTACAGAATTGACATATAGCAGTGATAGACTGCAAATCAAAACTCTGAAAATTGACTGGGTGGGCCTACTGGAAGAAATGGGTCTTAAGTTGTGTTTTAAATTCCGATATCTTGTTTAGCTGTCTGAGCTCTTCCAGTAGGTTATTCCACAGTGTTTGGGTGGCTGATGGAAAGGTGGGTAGCAGTCACCAGTCGGGTACTGGCTGGTTGGAGTGGTTGCCCACCAGAGGGCCTCAGTGTCCTAATGGGCGGATTGTGCAGGAGAAGATGATTCTGTAGGTAACCTGGACCCAAACCATGTAGATCTTTAATTACAACACTTTTTAATTGTCAACCTTTCTTTTTCATGTCAGGAGTGACTTGAGAAACTTAAGTCGCTTCTGGTGTGAGAGAATTGGCCGTTTGCAAGGATGTTCCCCTGGGGATGCCCGGATGTTTTATGATGTTTTACCATCCTTGTGGGAGGCTTCTCTCATGTCCCCACATGGGGAGCTGGAGCTGACAGAGGAGCTCATCTGTGCTCTTCCCGGATTTGAACCTCCGACCTGTCGGTTTTCAGTCCTGCCGGCACAAGGGTTTAACCCATTGCGCCACTGGGGGCTCCAGTGGCAACCAGTGGAGTGACTTTAACATACAAGCACTGAAGAGTAACAAAAACATGGTTGTGAGAAAATCTTAATGGATACGTTTTTAGAATTGGTAGGAAAACTTATCCATTAATACTTTCTCACAACCATGTTTATGTTACTCTTCAACGCCTGTATGTTACAGTCAAAAGCCACATGCAGAAGGCTGTTGAAAGTATATCAAGAAACTGGAGAGGATACCATAGATCAGATGGGCAGGCTTTCAACATATACAATGTACTTTAAAAACCATAAACTAATCTGGAGCTACCAGCCTAAAACACTGCAAAAGACATGCACTTTGAATTGCAGAATGCTGAGCCTAGGGATTTCATTTGAGTACTGAAACGGAACACAGCTCACAATTCTTTTACACAGAAATCCAAATTGATTATCCCAAAGTTTCTCATTTCATGGCTTGAGTATTGAACTAGGACTCCAGTAGACCAGGGTTTGAAACCTGCTCAGCTGCAAAAACCTACTGGGCAAGTCTTACTCTTTCAGCACATGAAAAAATCAGTGACAATCCCCTCTGCACAAGTTTTGACAAGAAAATCATGTGATGGGTTCATCTTTGGGTTGTCGTAAGTCAAAAACATCTTGAAGGCACATGAGAACAATACAATTAGGTTGGGTGCGTATACTGATGTTGGAAATTTTTGTTAATGTATTACAAATCATCCAGATACCTTCTGTCCACACCTGTCATAGGCAATGCTGGACACATGATATATGTTATTTATCAGAGTGTATATAGCAGTTAGAGATCTTGATTAAAGGAGCAAACGTGTCAAGGGCTTAGAGAAAGAAGCTAATCTTTATTGTGGGAATGCAATTCTAAGATAGAAAAGTTATTCATGATGCAAATCTAACTTCCTAACTCATGGGAAGAAGAATAGGTGGAGAAATATCCCTAGTATTATCAGTTTATATCAGAGAGTGTCAGGATAAGGAGACATAGAGGGATGATTCTAGGTCACTCAAATGATCTAGCCCTATTACTATAGCCCACTGTGAGACATTCCTCACTCTTCAGTGCTAACAATTGTTGCATTTCCTACATTATCAATAGCAATGTTTCTCTCTCTCTCTCTCTCTCTCTATATATATATATGTATGCATGTTACTGAATACATGGCATTAAAATACTGGCCGTTAAAGGCACAATGCTTTTTCTCCAGTTAACAATTTGTCTTCAGATGAAGGCACCTTGCAATAATAGGGAAGTAAGATAAGCAGGGTCAGCCTTAGTTAGTACTTGGATGGGAAGCTGCCATCTGGTTGCTGTAGGCTATATTTCAGAGGAAGGAACTAAGAAAACCACCTCCGAGTACTTCCTTAGAAAACCCTATGAGATTAATGGAGTTACCATAAATCAACATGACTTGAAGGACCGTGTGCACACAATCAGTAGTCATACTATCAAGTGCCAGCAAAGTGTAGTGATTTGAATGCTTAGACTAGGACCCTGGGGGACACGGATCTGAATCCCTGCTCAGCCATGGAAATCTTTTGGGTGAGCTTTGTCAACACACACTCTTTCAAACCAGGGCAAAAGCAATGGCAGATCTCTGAATAAATCTTGCCATGAAATTCCTATAATACCATTGCTGTACGTTGGAGTTATGGAGCCCCCGGTGGCACGGCTGAGCTGCTGAAATTGCTGACCAAAATGTCGGTGATTTGAATGCGGGGAGCAGGGTGAGCTCCAGCTGTTAGCCCCAGCTTCTGCCAACCTAGCAGTTCAAAAACATGCAAATGTGAGTAGAGCAATAGGTACTGCTCCAGCAGGAAGGTAATCATGCTCCATGCAATCACGCTGGCCACATGACCTTGGACAATGCCAGATCTTTGGTTTAGAAATGAAGATGAGTATCACCACCCAGAATCTGACACGACTTGACTTAATGTCAAGAAAAACCTTTGCCTTTTACTTTTATGTTGGAATTAACTTGAAGACACATGAGAAGAGTGAATGGGGAAACTGGGAGAAAGCAGGAAAGTGGTAAGAAGAAATGGAAATAAAAAGTGGAGGACTATATAAAAATAATTTGTCAAATACAGCCTCTCCCTTTGCAAAGGGATTCTGGTGGGTGGACTAGCGTTCCAACAACAGGAATAGATAGGAAGTACAGAAGGCAAGGCAATTGCTATCCATGGAACATTTTTGTAATATTTTTTTCTTGAAAATAATGAATATGTAATACAATTTATCAAATGATGTTTACAAATGAATACTGCTGCAAAACATTTATATAATGCATTGTATATAATTGGCCCAGTCCCTGGAAACACTGAACACGTAGAATGCACAACTGGTGACGTTTTCTCCTTTCTGTTGGGTGTAACTTGGAAGGCAATTACTCGTTTGAGCTATTGTTACCTGGCAAATTTGTGATCAATATACAGATAACATCAACCAGCTGGAAGGAAGAAAAATGGGTAATTAGGCAGCTCAGGATGTTTACACAGAATGGTAATAGCTTGAGCCAAGACAATTGCTTTTGATAGCCATCTCAGAACCAGGTTAAGCTTGAGGCAAATTCCTTAACCAAAACCTTGGATCCAGGTTTGCATCATAGAAAGGTATCTGATATCAAGATGATGATAGTTACCTGATTAATACAGACATAGTTCTGTATATGTGTCACAGTTCTCTAAACTGTGATCTAATTTAACAGTGTGATCTAAATTTGTTTTATATTTACATAAAATGAAGAGAGGAAAATTCCACTGTATTCTCCTTCAAATGTGAAATATTTGGCTCTACAATGAAATAAGTCATCTTCAGTGCTGGCCTAACATCCATCCACTACATAACTGTCTATTTATAAATGAATAATTTCTTATACCATATCACCAGGGAACATGGAAGATTGTCACAAAACTCTGAAAGGTAAACAAGATGCATATTACATAGTAGATAGTTCTGGCCAAGTCTACAACTCAAAAATGAGTTGAGCAAGAAGAAAAGAGGGAGGTCTGCCTCAGACGGGTTGATGAAATCAACCCACAGAGTGTCCTTCCTTCTCGGCTGTTTTGCCAACTTCCGCTCGAAAAATAAAGAGAACTATCTCATTTACAAGAGTTGTCCTGCACTTTGCAGCAACTGAAATAGCTTTAGGTGTTGTTGAATGGTAAGTGTTTTAAACAATTTGGCAAGCGTTTAATGTCAGTTGATGTTTTTATCCAAACCGTCTTTTGCATTGTGACATCCTAAACGGGCTCTTTTAAATTAGGAAGAGAGAAGTAATTAATGCTTTGCTTGGCTGAAAAGTTTCTCTTTACTTTGGAGTCTGGTTTAAGTTTGGAAAAATTAATTGGTAGTTGTTGTTTTCCATTAAGTATTATCTGCATGGGAAACTTCATTTAATGAGTTTCTCATTTTCACCTTGTTGTATCCCTATTTCAGAGAGAAAAAGGACTTTTGCAGAATTTCTGCTTATCAGGTAGTTGAAAGAGACTAGAACCAATGTGGCACAGTAGTTGTCCATATAGGACTGAGGAGACCTGGGACTCTATCCCATTGAACCATTAAATCACTATTGTGTATTCTTGGGTCTAGTCATTCATATTTTTTTTGCCTAATAGGATGGTTGAGGTCAAAGTGGGTGAGATGGAAGAATTCTTTTTAGAATGGTTGAGTAAGCTAAAATAGCTGCATGTATATATACCATACGCATACCAGAGTTAACAAAGTCTCTGACAAAGAAGCTCCTTTCCAAAAAGTATTTTATGTCCACTCAGTCTCCCTTTTTCTTTCTCATTCTTTGTGTATTGGAAGGGTTTACTACCGTTAACTTTCAGAAAATGGTGAGGGCTGGAGAAACATGGGTTTTTAATTTCAGGTTGTAGCACTGTGCCTGTGGTAAACAATGCAAAAAAGCTTGAGCTGTGTAAGAATGGAATTCTGCTCCATTATTTTGCAATAGCTATGTGTGCCTACCTACAGCAGTCAAGAAAAAGAGCAGCTGCCTCCAGAATTCCTTATGGAACATGCACGAACCACAAAAACAGAAAGAAAGGGGAACAGCAGATACACCAGTCTCATATTACAAAGCACCAAAATAGAAATCATAACAACTAGAGGCAAATGAAACAAACAAACAAACAAACAATAATCACGGGATGCATTTCACATGTGAAGCATTACATTTGGATGCAAATTTTGCTGAAATGTGTTGAACTGCTCTTCCTTTTTGTGGTGTAGAAAGCTAACCTCTTCATGTCATGTTATTTGTTCACCAGGTCTGAAGTTTTCTGTTAAAACAGTCATGGCCAAGGACACATCTATTTCATTAAGTATATGTTAAACATTTACAATACACATTCCACTTTTGCGGGGGTTAGGAGATAAATATCCCAGTGAAAGTGAAAAGTTGCGATTTAAAAAAAATGTAAATTTTAACCTGAGATTGCACCTCTTTAGGAATCTCTTAAGATCTTCAGGATGACTCTGTGGTGAGCTTCCACCAGACGTTCACCAAAGAATTGTCTTGGGGGACCCAGAGATTCCTAGAGAGAACATACTTGCCAAATCCACAAAAGTAAAATCACAGATGTGGAAATCTGACTATATATTGAAAAGACCACAATTCAACAGAAAACTAGTAGAGTTTTTTTTATGACTTATTCCTGATTAACTTCATTGCTCAACAGATTATAAAGGAACCTTTGGGAGACAGCTGTCCTCTACTGTGACTGTGTTATGCAAAGACTATCTTGGGCCATCTTTGAGGGATGCCTTAAAGACATCCTTTGGGATGTCTTTAAGGCATCTCTTATAATTCTATACAGGCAGTCCCCGAGTTATGAATAACGTGTAGGTTTGTTCTTATGTTGAATTTGTATGTAAGTTAGAACAGGTACATTTTTTAAAGTCCAACACCAGCCAAAATATTTTTAAGTTTTGGATAGCATAGGGAAGGGTTAGCACACATGTGGTGTTTGCTTTGCTGCCTGTGCCTCCATTCAGAAGATTTCACATCACATCACTTTCTGTCCTTGTGTGAGAATTGAATGTCTAAAAATTTGGTCTGTTGTGGAAACAATGATTGGTACTAAAGCTTCAGTGGAGACACTTTTCACCGTGATAGGTCTTTCAGGAGATAATTTCCCTTCTGAGGGAGTAGTTTTCTCTAATTTCCTATTGCCTTAGACCCATTCTTAACTATTCTTAACTATGAGTTGTTTGTAATTCAGTTGTCTATAACTCGGGGACTGCCTATATGTCCCGGTGAGGATATAGTCTTGTGAGATATAGTCTTGTGAGCTAGATAAGTTAACTTCAGAGAAGTGGAGATGGACATCTTGAAATAAATGGAGGGGGTATGATGAGGAAGATCAGCGAGCTTGGGGATTCATTTTGCTATGGCATGAACAAATGGATTTAATTGCCAAGAAAGGAGATTCCACCTAAAGAACATCCTGAAGATAACAGCTGTTTGAAAAGGGAATGAATTGCTTCAGCAGGTCGCGGAGTCTCCAAGTCTGGAGGTTTTTCAAGAGAAGTTTGAAGATCAATTCTAACCTGGGTATTTCTGCACAGCAGGGAACTAGACTAGGTGGCTCTTGCATTCCCAACTTTATGATGCTATGAACTTTAATATTCATTCTATATGCATGTCTTGACTATGAAATCCTTTCTTGGAAAATATTCAGGCCATGCACATGGAATATATTATGAAGAACACCAATAAAAGGTTTCTTTATTTCATATATGACCTTTAGTAACTCTATAACTAAAAACTCTATGAAGTGACAGAGTAGAAGAAACCAAAAAGCTTATAGTTATCCCATAGCTGAAACTAAGAAACCAGTTGACCTATATGGAATAAATGTCTCAGGCAGAAAATTGATCTTACCTTACAATAGTTGCAGTCTCCATTAGTTCAAGGTAACTATGAGGGTGATATTTCTGCAAACAGATGTAATAAATAACATGGGATGTTTTTGTTAGTCAAAATCATTTGAGCTCAAGAAGAATATTAAGAGGCATGGTGCCTTTCCCATCTTCTTTCTAAAGAATGAAGCAAACCTCTGCCAGGGCCATGGATAAGCTGAGAAGGCCAGTTGGAGGCAGAAAGCTTGGGTCAAATCGCTGGAGACAACCAAGAAGCATGGAGGAAAATGCGCAAACATACCTTATCTCAGAGGAAGAGCAATTCCATTCTGAAATCACTGAAAAGATGTGGGACATCTTCCAAAAACATGATGAAAGCAAGCAAGGTTTTATTACTCGAGAGGATATGCAGGTAAATTGCTGACGTAGGTAATCTGTTTTGTAGATCAAATGCTGTAGTCAGTAAGCAATGACATGAAAAAAATGTTCTTGGTTTTTATTTATATAAGATGGTTCTCGGGGTTGGGAAGGGGAAGAGGTATTAACCAATGTAGGTACGATTTAACTGTGTTGTTTTCATCCAGCCTTCTCCAGCCCTTAATCTGTTAGACTACAATTTCCATAATCCCCAGAATGGAGGTTGAAGGAAGATGGAAATAATACCCTGACACATCTGGAAGACACTAGGTTTCGGGAAGTTTCCCCAAATGTAGGCAGAATTGCTACAACTGTTTTCTGTTTGATTTTTAAAAAATGTATCCAGCTTTTCTAGAACAAAACATATTATTATAATTACCTTACAATAGTTAAAATGCCACAATCACATCATAAAACAGGATGAAAACAAAGCCTTATTTAAAAAATGAAGGCCGGTCAGAAAATAAATACCAGACTTGGGGTTGGTTCCCTCAGGCGTCATCTGTCTGGCAAGGGAAAAGCTTGATGCAATGGGAAGGTCTTCAGCACTCAGTGGAAAGTGGCAGAACAGATTACCCCATGGGATGTGTTTGTTTGTTTGATATCAGACCTCTTCCTTTTTCTTTTTCTCAATCTCCTCTTTCACTCTTTTCCTTCCTTCCTTCCTTCCTTCCTTCCTTCCTTCCTTCCTTCCTTCCTTCCTTCCTTCCTTCCTTCCTTCCTTCCTTCCTTCCTTCCTTCCTTCCTTCCTTCCTCATCCTGACTTTTTCTCAGTAATGGTATGCAATGTAACTTACAAATTATCAGTCCAGTACAATTAAAAAACCCCAAAGCACACAAATTATTAAATACCTATGTCTGTCTGTCTGTCTGTCTGTCTATCTATCTATCTATCTATCTATCTATCTATCTATCTATCTATCTATCTATCTATCTATCTATCTATCCATCACTTATCTCTCCACGTGTAATAAAAAAATAAACCATATATAGTTAAAACTATTAAAATTTAATCAAAAGACAATATTTAAAGAAATCAACATCACATCACAAAAGTCCATCACAGTTGGGTTATCAGTGGAAGGAGTATAAGAAGGGAGCCACTTTAGCCCCCATCCCCACAGCAACCTCTGGCAGGAAAGCCATAGGAGAGGGTCTTTTTCAGTAGGGAGAGAGTGATAGAGCCTGGAAGAAGCCACAGAGAAGGCCCTCTCTGATGGTTTTCTGACCAGAGGATGGAGGGATGGAAATATGGCACTCCTTAGAAAGACTTTGTACCTAAGCAGGCTCAAAAGGAAGAGTCCTTCAGATAGCCTGGACCCAGACTTTTGAACAGATTGTCCACAGATCTAATTTCATAGTGGAAGTGAGTATCTTCCAGCAGCAATTTCAGTGAATTTTTTCATGCTCCATTTCAATTTTCTTCTTGTCTTTGCTCCTCTTGACTCATGAGAATTTGTATTTCCTTCTAACACTGACATTTTAAAAATAATTTCATAGCATTTTCTCTATTTAGCCCCTTTAAATTGCACAACTTATTTTGCTTTATCCTATTTGACTCGTTTTGTATAGTTTTCAATTATGTGAAATCTATACAAAAGTTTGGGCACATCAGAAATATGTGCATTGTTTTGTGTGCATTTTGCAAGTGTCTGAAGGCTCAAGGTGAGGAACACATTTCCTGTATGTTGTACAATTGAGACCAAGTTTCTGAAGTCTCAGGGTCTGGACCACCTTCTCTAGTTCTCAAGGTGAGGGGAAAAAATCTCAAGGTGAGAGCATTACATTGAAAAATTACATGTGTGCACATGCACGGATACCTATTTTCTTCATTTGTTACCATTGTTGTTTACTATATAAATTATCTATTTTGTGCATTTGTAGTTGATGCTTCATCTATCACACTTCATTACATCACCAAGATTTGCCCTGTAACACCGGCCTTAGAACATTGCCAGGACCTATCCACTGTGATACCATAAAGTATTTGAAGTCTCTCAAAATACTCCTGATGTGTGATAATCCTAGACTGGCAATCCTATTGGAGCTTGGTGAGTCTAATGAATGTTGTCTTCTTTTCAGAAACTGGAGGGAGAGGTGCCTTGGCGCACAGAAGAGTTGGAGCTTCTCTTTGATGGCCTTGATGCTGACAACAAAGGCTACATAACCATTGAAGAGTTCACTGCAGGGCTAAGTATGCATTGGCTTAATCCTGGAGGGCCAGGTAACCTGAAGGCCTCCAAATGCTTTGGTCAAAAGCTTCCATTTTGCTCACCATCTGTCATGCTGGCTAGGGCTGGTGGGAGTGATAGTTCAAACCATTTGGAGGTTTCCTAACTCTAACTTAGAGCTTTAATACACAAGACTGGCAGAGTGGAATTTAGAAAGATAGCAGAATTGTTGGCTGTAATTATTGCACAATGTTGTGTTCATCCTTGTGCTACTTTGTATTCCATCTGTTAGTATGGCACATCTTTCAATGGGTGGGTAAAACCAAACAATGACTTTTTTATATTGCTGCTTTTTCATTAGTAATAGCTGTCTGGTAAGTTCTTTCTGCTGCAATTCCTATATGCTAGAAGTCATTTGGCATCAATGGGCATGATTCTCTTCTACTCCTCCTTGCTATTACCAAGCAAGCTGCTTTCCTTCTTTCTCCTATTCTTTTATCATATTGCCACAATTGTGAAATTCCAGTAAAAATAAAACATTCTGAAAGGCATACTGGGTAGGGCATAGGCCAGGAAGGCAGGATTATGGAGGTTGTGCAGGTTGCAGGACCATAACTCACCAAAGCACTGCCATTGCGCTAATGCAGAGAAGTGCAATAATGAATACTCTAAAATTGGTAGTGTATTTAATTGAGTCAGGCCCGTAGCCAGGATTTTGATTCACTGTCCCCAGGTTTGTAACCTTCCCGTGTTTTCCCATTTTGTCTTTCTGTTGGTTTGTTCCTGGAAGATTTCCAAGATCTGCTCCTAGATCTTCTTATAGCTACATGAATGCAAAAAGTACACACACAAGAGGAAAAGTGCTTTTAGAAAATGCAGCTGTAGGTTTAACATTTGTAGATTGGATCATTCACAGATTTTATTACGATGGTCTCTCCAGTGCAACTTCCATCATCAGTGTCCACTATATACCTGCACAGGAGGACTTAGCGATTCCTAGGGAGGTATTCTCACATGTTTAAAAAGTGGTTTTGTGGGGAGTCCTGCAGTCATAACCCCAATGAATGTGGAGGGCTGACTGTACAGACATTTGAAGCAATGATTTCTCTCTTATGCCATCCACACTTATTATGATCGTCCACCTGGATCAGCAGAGCCCTGTGTACCTCACATGTGCTCAGTGTAGGTCATGCCCTACCACATGGCATGATGAGGTGACCACTTCAGGTGTCACATTTTAGGATGTCTTTAAAGGGCTGTGAGTTTTTTTGTTCTTACTTCCAAGAAAGAGACACTTTTATTTTGTCTCAATTACCCAAATAACTTGACTAGAAGATCCTAGAAGCCCTGATTTTGGCAGACAGTGATTTTGCTTCTCTGCTACAAGCAGCAAAATGCCTTGTGCCAATTGTGGCTTGGTGCCTTGGCCCAATAAAGTGTTCACTTATCACAGGTAGCAATTTAACAGAGCATGAAATGGTACCTTTTGGATCACAACTCGAAGAACTCCCAGAATTGGAGGAGTTATAGGCAAAAAGCCCTGTGGTGTAAGCTGATCTGTTTTGTGCTATGTCTGTCCAGTGGTGTGACTCTGGTTGTCTACGTGGCAGGGCATTTTCTGAGCTCACAGACAGCAACAAGAGAACACAGGAAGAGGAAGGCCACATCAGCAAGGAATCCTACAAACCTGTCATTGGTGGAAGCTAATTTAGAGGAGCAAAAGCACTTCAAGGCATTCATAAACCAATTGGGAGCGGACAATATCTTTGAAGAGTAAGGATATGCTAACTTTCCGATTCGTTTTTACTGAATTTTACAGAGGGATCCAAAGAGAGCAGGAATGGGAGTAAGTGAAAGAAAAATAAAACTGGAAAAAGAACTTTTGCAAGATACAACTTCTCAGAAAATCCAGCCAGTAGATTTAGTGGCTAATCTTAGGTTTGATGGCTAAATTGAGCCAAATGTTGGGAGAAAGGCAAAATACTGGCTAAGGTGGGCATGCTGAGATATGTTAAGAATTAAGGAACAGCGTTCCTCAGAATATATTCTCTTGGAAACAATGAGCCAAAACCAAGTTCTCAAATCCTAGGTCACACACACAAAACCCTCCAAGCTTTTTAGCATCAGAAACCTTGTATGTATCCGTTGTTGATAATGCTATTCTGAAAATTAGGAATCAGATGCTGTGATCTGGGGTAAATCATCCAAACTTCCTGACTGTGAGAACTGTTCAGCAGGGGAAAACTCTGCCCCGGAGTGTGGAGGAGGCTCCTTCTTTGGAGGCTTTTAAACAGAGGATGGATGGCCATCTATCAGGGGTGCTTTGAATGTGATTTTTCTGCTTCTTGGCAGGGGGTTGGACTGGATGGCCCACGAGGTCTCTTCCAACTCTGTGATTCCATAAATATCAATTGGGAAATCCTGATCTTTCGCCTGTTTTGCTCTACTCCCTACTATAATGCAGTGTGGTTGAATCTCCAACCCATGGCCTCATCAGTCCATAGGATGTCAGATTCCTCCTAAGAAATCCTGGGATTTGTAGTTTGGAAGAGTTCCCAAAATTAAATTGGTATTCAGTTGGTATAAACATGTTAGCAATTAAACCTGGGTCCTGTACTAACAATAGCAGAACCTTACTGTAAATGAGGGGTCCATGGAAGGCTCTGTCTAATAAACATTTGGGCAGAATATTCACAAAGAGGAAAACATTTTCTCTCTCTTACAGCCAGTCGGAGATCTGGAGGATTTGGTTGCAGCTCCGGAAAGATGAACCAGATTTGCTGGGAAACCTGAAAGAATTCTTGGATAAAATGACATACTTGATTAAAGAAGCTAAGCATGCAAAAGAAACGCTACAGTTCATGCTGGAAATGTAGGTCAAGGAATGTAAGGTGGAGTTATGATCTGAGCAGTGTTTCTTTCCAGAATAAAAAAGGAGACTCCTGCAAAAGGGGCTTTTGGAGATTCTGGGAACTGTAGTCCAAAAAAACTAACTTTGTCAAGATTTAGTTAGTGCCTAATATTGGGAGGTCAAGGATTACTCAGTGAAGGCCCAGACTCAATTCTTGGCATCTCCAGTTAAGAACCAGTCTTGAAATATAGACCTAATGGAAATGAAGGCCCACCTGCATCCCAACTACCATTGTCCTAGTCTTGGAGGGAGATAACAGATGGCAGCAGCTAGACTTACTCTGTTCTCCCACTGCCATTCCTCTTTCCTTGTGTGTCCTATTTTAATTAGATTATAAACCTGAAGGCAGCAAATGTTCAAATTAACAATTTTTAAGTTGATCTGAGGTAGAGAGCCAGCATTGTGCAGTGGTTTAAAGGTCAGACGACAACTCTGGAGATCAGGATTCAAATTCTATGAAAATCCACTGGGAAGCTTGGCAGGTCACACTCTCTCAACCTCAGAGGAAGTCCAGTGCAACCGCTCTATAAACAAATCTTGCTAAGAAAACCTTGTGATAGACTCTGAGGGTCACCATAAGTTGAAAATGCCTTGAAAACACATAAGAAAAGTTGATTTGATAAGTTTTGCGGCTGAAGAGTGGGGTATAAATGCTTGTAATAAGCAAACAAATAAATAGGCAAATAGTTGCAATTAGGAGTCCCAAGAGTCAATGCTCTTCCTTCCTGTTGCAGATCCAGAGTTGAGAGAGGTGTGTAGAAGCAGAAGCGAACAGTTGTAGTAATGGGGTTCACCTGCTGATCAAAGTAGCCCCTTTTCATAAAATTAGCCACTGAGCAGTTTAGAAGCCAACATTGTATGGAAGGTGCAACCGACAACATGTTACCAGTTTAATAACAGCTGATTTAATGCTCAGACAAACCTCTTCATTTGGTCCTCTGTACTAGGAAAGTTGCTGATCATAACAAGAAGGTACAACAACTATATGATGAAATGGAACAGCAAACAGAGAAGGAGAGACAAAGGCTCCAGTATGAGGTAGGTGCATGGCCAAATCATGATTTTTTTCCTCAGGATTTTATTTATTTATTTATTTATTTATTTGACTTGTATACCGCTACTCCCAATTTGGCTCGGAGCGGTTTACAGCAGCAGTATGGGATGTATGGGAAAGGGTGTGTTGGCTTTGTTTTCAGTCCTACTATTTTGCAAAAACTAAGGGTGCCCATAACATTGCATTATGGCGTGATTCAGGGGGGAAAATCATTTTAGAACAAGATGTCCTGTACATTTAGTGAACATTATGAGAATGCAAAGGGAGCTCAAGCTTCTTGGAGACTGAGATAATAAAGTTGGTAGCTTTTAAAGTTAAGGATTTAGGGCTTATCTACACTGGCCCAAAAACCTGGACTAGCTGTGAATGTGCCGATGTCTCCATAACACACAGCCACTTTTAGTTAGTATTATCGAGTGTTTGATTGTTTGTCTGTATAATCTGACTTTCCTCCATTTAGACAAAATCAGGGGAGACACATACACACACATGAGAGAGGGTGGGGAGGGAGAAGATAATGGAAATGGAACAGAATATCCTGGGAAAGGGCATGGCAGGTTGATTGGTATCCTGAAAATTTAATGCTGCAACGTTTCATTGCTGGTCTTGCTTGTAGGTTGATTTAAATATCAATATGACTCATGTCTGTGAAATTTCTTAAGAGCTGACTTTTAAAATTTACAGTTATTAACACATTTGTTGTTGCAGAGTAAAACCAGGAGTCAGTTGTATAGTATGGAGATGGAGAAAGTGCTGACTATCAAGGAACAGGAAATACAGAATTTCCTTACTATTCAAAAAGAGGTGAGATACCAACATCAGTTTGGGAATTCATATGAGATAATACTGATATTGCAAGTGATCATTCATATATGAAATGTTTGTGCTCTCTCATTCTGAATCCACACTCCGTACAGCTATCTGAGTAGTCCAGTCAACATATTTGTCATAACCAATATTTCTATTTTGGAATACCTCTTAAAATTTAAACTACAGTGGATTGCTGCACTTTAAAAAAAAGGCTTGTTTTCAAAATCAGTGGGATCTTTCTTTGAAATACATGCTTGGTATATCTGATATGCAAGACTTTTACACATATGGGTTTTTATCATTTATCCAGCTCCTCCCTCTCTATCAAACATGATGATATTGCAGCATGGCATCAAGACATCTGGAAAGGCACAGTTGTTAGAGAATGTGATGCTTCAGTATTCATTTGCATTGATTGTTATTTCTTAGTTGATAAATGTTTGACAGCATTGTGTAGTATACTGCAGAATCACTATGGCATTGTGACAAAGGTATGGTCACTACTCTTCTCCATGAGAACAAGAGAAGCTCATCATTGACTCAAACCATAGTGAACTGTGATCCTCCAGATCTCTGATGTTAGAATGTGTATGTAAGACTGCGAGAAAAGTCAGGATGAGGTAGAGAAGAGCTGGAAAATGGGGTTGGAGTACCGGTTTTGTAAAACTAGAATTTCTCATCTACAAAACATGATATTGCAAAGCAATTGAAAGCAGCAAAGCAAGTTCTGCTAAAAACATCTTTTTGTTCTCAGTCAGTTGTGGTCTTCACGCTCTTGGCCATATTCCTTCTGTATTTTGAAACAGTGTGGAATATGGTTGTGAATGTTGGATTAAAACATTGAAGGCCAGGGTTCGAATCTTTGGTCAGCCATGGACACTCACTGGGCAACCTTGGGGAAAGCACTTCTGAACAAATCTTGCCAGGAAAAACATGTGGCCATCACTTTAGGGTTGCCATGAGTTGAAAATGTCTTTGAAGACACAGAAAAACAACAACAAATCTTCACCAGCCATGGTAACAGAAACCAGAGAAGTAGCATCTTATTGCTGAACTATCAGAATTTAGGGCTTTCTCTGCTGTGGCGCTTTGATTATGTAACATCCTCCTTTTAGGGAACAACTACCATCAAAACTGGAGTGTCACCATGGCACCAACTAAAAAGAGAGCATTTTGTTAAAATCTTTGGAGCCTAATGGATTTCATCTAAATTTGCACACAAGTCTCATTTTAAATTGTCTCAAACAGTTTGAAGGTGAATTCTTTGGAGATTAGGACTTGATTGCCTATTTGGCCATGAAAAACCCACTGGGTGACCTTGAGTGAGTCTCACATTCTCATCCTCAGAAAACACAAATATATGTTGAGCCTTTGGCTGACCATGAGTTGATGGCACACAGTCTGGAATTAACTTGTCAAACTGCTAAGCATACTTTAAAATCTGTTTTAAAATTGATTGCTGTTTAAACACTTCCCTGAGATTCTTGGGTATGGATTGGGATACCTATATAAAATATTTCAAGATGTTTATATTGAGACTATTGGACATTGGGCATACCATAAGACAAGGTTCCCCACTGGAGAACGCCTAGTGATGTGTAAGACATTAGGAAAAGAACATGACATTATAGAATGAATTGATTCAATTAGGAAAGTTACTAAGTTTGCAAGACCAGATTTCGACTGTTGATGACTGAAATTAATGGAGGCTGCTCATTCATAGGGTTATTGTAGGTCAAAGTCAACTTAATAATAACCAAACAGCCATTTTATTTAATAATCTGCTTCAAAGTCAACATTGTATTTTATGTGTGCATTTGAGGAAGCAGACTGAACATATTGTGCAAATAAACCCACAAGAAACAACGTATCATTGCATGTACTGCTAAAGCAGGTCATGTATTTGTTGTTTAGTCATGCATTCATGTTGAAGGAGATGGCAAAAATAGGGTTGCTGGAGTGAGAATGGAAGATTTTTTTCCTGTCCCTTTAATGTCTGTATAGAAGAGGGACTTTCAGATGTTCTTCATCACACAACCAGTTAACAAGCAGCACCTGCTGAAATTCTCTTTTCTGCACATTATTAAAGGGACAGGAGACATCTTCTATTTTCACTCCGGCAACCCTAGATAAAAACCAGATCATGCCAGTATAAGTTCTGCATTCTTAAACTGCAGTAGCCATCTTCTACACTTGCTTGACTCTGCTACTTACCTGGCAAGGTGTGGGGAATGGGCTAGCAAAAGGAAGGAAGTGGTGAAGGATGGCTGGTTGATTCAAAGGTTGGATATTCTGTGAGTGGATCTGGCAATGAAGTAGGGCATGTTGAGATGGGATAGGTCCACCTCTAGAATTGCTAGACTGGGGACCACTCCTGGACTTTTAATGGTTGTGTAGAAAAAGGCATTTTCCACAAGAGTTTCTTGTTATCTGGTTGTGTGACAATCAACACCTGCTGAAATTACCTTTTCTAAAAAAATTAAGCAATTTACAGATACATGTACTGTCTTGAATTTTCAATCTAATCTACTTCCTAAAAACCAGCAAGGAGAAAACAAGCCCCTGGATCGGGGCCCACAGCTGTTCATATGAATGTGATTTTCCTGCTTCTTGGACTGGATGGCCCATGAGGTCTCTTCCAACTCTATGATTCCATGATTCTATGATATGGGATAAAGTAGGTCAAAGCAATATGGAGCAGCGTAGGAGAGAAAATGATTGGGAATGATGTAGAATTCAGTGCTTCAAACACTACTGTCTGGTTTTTCCCACAATGTGCCAGGCAAGAAAATGCAAATCTATCACATTCTCCAGTTTTCTGCCAGCACGCCAGACTCCTTTCTCAAGGAGAGGCCAAAGACCACTTGACTTGAGTCTTCATGGAACAGTTTGGCTTTTCTCTGCAAAGGAAACAGCACCACCTCCTGGGGAGGAGACATATTTTCTAGTTAAGGGTAGAAATATTTTAGGCCAAACAGTTATATCTCCTGCTATGGTTCCTTGATGATTCAGTGTGTCCTAGATACACAACAAAATGCTGTAAGTTGTATTACAGGGGAAGGAACTTGCATAGCTACCTTTTAGTATGTCTTACCTAAGAACATCCTATGACATTCATAGTTACCATAACTTGACAGGAAACCTGAAGGCACATACAGGCATGACTGTGAACTAAATATACCTGCTGGCCTTATTGACACAATGTAATACAATATTGGGTGGATTAAAAATAAGACCAATGCTGTCCAAATACATTTTGCTGTCTGAGGGCAAGGACAAGGAGGCAGCCACCCATTCCCTTCTGATTTTATGTACTGAAGATGACTGGATTGGCAGTTGAATTGTACTACAACAGCATTGGTGGGACAATATTCTGGACCACATCTGAAAATGCCACACATGTAGCTAATAGCTGCATGGTAAAGGCATTTTATCTTCGGACCTCTTGCTTCTGCTCTGTATCCATCTCTCCCACCAGTTACCACCTTTGTTAAGGTTGCTACCTCATTCTATCTAGCTCTAGTATCTCCTTTGTATATCCAACCTACGGTGATAGTTCTGGTTGCCTTGGTGTTGTCTGGCTTTGGACTAATCCAAAAAATGCTGCAGAGACTTGCTGCATGGAGAAGCTGATACTTTCTTTACTGCTTCTCTTAAAAAATTGAATTCATATTGATATTTACTTTTTAATAAAAAGAAGAAAAACGTCCTAGCTGTGTTTGCGTTCTAGAAAGTATTCAGTTATATCTAGGCTATTTCTGCATTATCAGTAAAGTCCATTTCCAAATAGGGAGACAAAATGGCCTTCAGTGGACATCATATACTCAGTCACCACTTGTTCTTTTGATAGGGGAGAATCAATATGGGATCCTTAGAAATCATGATATATCTATTCCCGTTATTAGTAAGTCTGCCTATATGGCAGAATGTACACCTTCTTGAGTAAGTGAGAAGGAATAGCCCCCTAATTTCACCCGGATCCTCTTAGCTGAGAAAACCCAGTGATAGTTTAGACGCAACATCTCCATAAATTGGGAATAATTGAAGGCACACAACATCAACAACTGTAGTTTGATGGGAGTAGTGGTTCATTACAGTTGAAGGACACCAAGTTGGCCAACACTGATCTGTAAAATCTTTTTGCAGAAAAATCCACTATGTGTAACTGACTGAGTTATTCTTCTGATGGTTAAATATTGTCCTAAATTCTCTCCTCAGCTTGAGACTCACCTCCTCACCCTTAGGAAAAAGCAGCATGTGGGCAGTGCCCAAACCGAAGAACTCAAGCGAACCAATAGGGTGCTTGAGAAACAGCTACAGGAAACTCTTTGTCAACTTCAACAGACTCAACACCGCCTGGATAAAATGAAGGGTAGAATATCCCAAATGCACAAATATGGCAGGTAAGGCCTAAACATGAATTCACAAATCATATTTCCCTGGAGAATCTTCTCTAGGAAACACCTTGCTGGGTTCTAGTTTGACGTAGCTCCTCCAGGGCATGGTCAGGAGCCTGACATTGCTGAAACTAAGCAGTGTTGAGTCCAGTCACTGCAATGAAGTTGTACAGAAAAAAATGAATGTAGTATCATTAGATCTACTATTGTTTTCTTCTTCTTTCTTAGCTATTTTCCTAAGGAGGGGTTAGGATTGTGACTGTTGCTTCCATAGGGCTTTGTTTTGGGCATCCTCAGGTATCAGGTTGACAGCATACATGTCTATATTGTTGGTGTCCATCCATCTTTTCTTTGGCTGTTCACGTGGTCATAATCCTGCAATCTCCAAATGTCGTGCTGTTTGTGCTACTGATGTTGGTTTTCTTCTCATGTCATGGTTGTACCACCGTAGTCTTGCTTCCTGCATTTTCTTTATGGTTGCTTTTATTCCTAGTCTTTGACAGATGTCATCATTTGTCACATGGTCAAGAAGTGTCAAGCCAAGTGTCCATCTCAGCATTTTCATTTCCATAGTGTTAAGGGCTTGTTCGTGTTTCTTTGTTGTTGGAGAGCACTCTGCCTCGTAGAGGGCTACTGGATGAACAAGTCTAGTATAGATCTTAGCCTTGAGTTGTTTAGGCATTTTTGAATCACACAGAATACCAGTAGTTTGCTATCATTTCAACCAGGCTGCATTTATTCATGACTGTACATTTGGCATTGTGTCACTGGACTGCGTGGAAGCCCATAACATAGCTAACACTTACTTTCAGAGACCTACTGTTGTCTGACATCCATTAATTAATGTCATAGGAGTCACTCCTGAGGATCAGGTAAAAGCAGATTAGTTTGGTAGCATTAGGCTGTTTTCTATCTTTTAGCAAAGACTGTGCCAAAAATCTGTTTATGTGATGAAGCACAGGGTGGGGCGGGATGGGGCAGGGCAGGACATGCTGTTATAACTGCCACTTCTCCTCTTGTAGTAGTCACTTTTTAAAAAGTAAGAACATTTTGAGAATCAATTGACCTTTCAGATGTTGTTGGACTGCAGCTCCTAGCACTCTTCACCACCAGCAGTGCTTAACAGGCTGGTGACTGGAAACCAAACCCTATTAGGAATAACTTAAGGGGTTAGGTAATGTTTAGCCTGGAGAAATGAATAGTGAGAAATGACATGATAGGTATCTGAGGGGATGTAAAGTAGAAGATAAAGCAAAACTGTGTTTTGCTACTTTAGAAACTAGAACACTAACTAATGGAAATGATAAGAAAAGTGATTACACCTAAAACACATAATGTTAGGAAGAAGCTCTTGATGGCAAGAGTTATCTGATAGTTTTGTGACTGCATTTTGGGTGACAAACTCTAGATTTTTGGAGCCTTTAACCCGAGATTGGATTAATACCTTTTTGGGAAGGCTTTACTTGTGGTGCAGTGGGTTAAAGTGCTGAGCTTGTTGACTGAAAGGTCGTAGGTTTGAATCCGGGGAGCGGCGTGAGCTTCCGCTGTCAGCCCCAGCTGCTGCCAACCTAGCAATTCGAATAGGTGGGAAGGTAACGGCACTCCATGCAGTCATGCTGGCCACATGACCTTAGAGATGTCTACGGACAACGTTGGCTCATTGGCTTAGAAATGGAGATGAGCATCACATCCCAGAGTCGGACACGACTGGACTTCATGTCAGGGGAAAACCTTCACCTACCTTACTTGTGTATTTCTGCATGGTATGTGTTGGACTAGAAAATGATCCCTGTATTTCCTTCCATTTCTATGATTCTATTACTTGTAGTTCAGCAATATCTGAAAGGCCATATGATCCACATTTCTGCCATACAGTGTGAGTTCATTAAAGTGCCCAACCTCTTTTCTCCTTGAGGAACATGTAGCTTTTGTTTATACCATTCTTTGTAATACTTCCCTCCATAGAAGCTATAGGTGACTACACTGAGTAGTGGAAAGCATTTCTGATCCTTTAATAGTTCTGTAGAAAATGGAACTTCAGCAGTTATTTTCTTGCCATCCAGTCAGAGAATGAGCAATATCTGCTGAAATTCTCCCTTCTTAACTACTATTTAAAGTGCAAAAGGCCTCTGTATTTCTCACTTTGGAAACTCTTAACAAGCCTTTCCATCTCTCAGAGTATTGTTATTTCCCCATGGATACAGCTCCCGTATCCATGGGGGAATGCATCGAAGACCTCCCCTGTAGATACCTGAAATCATGGTTAATAGCAGACTTGATATTTTATTAAATTTTCATACATGGTATTTGAGCTAGAGGCATTCTTTGAAATCACTTTGGAGGTCCCAGAGAGGCCCACAAACACTTCCAAGTGGGTGGTGGATATTTTTGGAGCATGGCTAAGTGGATATTGAAGTTGTGAATAGGGAGTGGGTTTCCATATCATTGGGATAGCAGACTCACTCTAGGTTTTAATCTGATCAAAGAAATATGATTAACATAATATCCTAATTATGCCCAGTGCCTTGGATAGTTTCCTTAAAATTTAGACAAAAATTGACCCAATAATATGATAGATCCAGCTGCCAAAACAAGATATTGCTGTCTGAGGTAGAGTACCAAATGACTCCTCTCCATTTAAGCTGAAAAATATCGCAAGTTGACTAAGCCCCTGGGGAAGAGACTCTTGATTATCTTTCTATCAAAATAGGCATGTCGAAAAAGTGAACTAAATAACTGCTTGTTTGTTTTCCTTTACAGCCCAAACCAGCTGCCTAGAAACTGTTGCCTTCTTCTTTCTAGTATGCCAGTCTTCCTCCCTCCTCTAACAATGTTCAGTTTCCAATGCTGGTGATGCACAATGTCTAAATTAAAATTGTAGACATGCTTTCATAGTAATATCTGGGGGGAAAATACTTTTGCTACAGAATCTCTTTGCACATTTAGTCGGAAGTGAAGCTTACATCCAAGAAGGACTGCAGTCTTAGAACAGGGAAGAATAAGACCAACCAGCTTTCACAAGACACTGTTTCCTTGCCTCTGTGTGATTCACTGAGCTGTGACTTGTAAAGAGATTCAAAAGGGGATCTCATTTAAGAGTGAGTTTGCTGCTGTGTATCTATGTATGAAGTGATTCAGGGTTCTTCTTCTTCTTCTTCTTATTATTATTATTTATTAACTTTATTTGTACCCCGCTAGCATCTCCTGAAGGACTCGATGTGGCTTACAAAGGCCAAGGCCTCAAACACAATATAACAAAACACAACCTAAAGCAAATCAAAAACAGTTAAGCAATATTAAAACCAACAAGCAATAAAACAATACACCAAGATACAATAAAACTGAGCCGGGCCAGAGTAGTGGGTACAGATTAAAAGTGCTGAAGTGACAGGTGATATGTAGGATTATAGGGTAAGTGCAGTGTGCCGGCAATCTTAATTTCTACTAAAGTGCTTCTGGGACTTGGTGTTGGAGTTTTCCTATTCTGGAAAGGCACATCGGAACAGCCAGGTCTTTAAGTTCTTCCTAAAGACTGCCAATGTAGGGGCCTGTCTAAGATCTTTGGGGAGGGTGTTCCAGAGTCGGGAGCCACCACAGAAAAGGCCCTGTCTCGCGCCCCCACCAGACGTGCCTGTGATGCAGGTGGAATCACGAGCAGGGCCTCTCCGGATGAACGAAGTGAGCGCATGCGTTCGTAAACGGAGATGCGGTCATGCAGGTAGGATGGTCCCAAACCATTTAGGGCTTTGTAGATAAACACCTGCACCTTAAATTGGGCTCGGAAAATAAACGGCAGCCAATGCAGCTCCTTGAACAGGAGGGTTGACCTCTCTCTGTAAGGGGCACCAGTTAACATCCTGGCCGCCGCCCGTTGGACCAGTTGAAATTTCTGAGGGTTTCCTTCTAACTATACACAGAAATGCAGCAGATTCATCCTTAGCAAAGAAAAGCTAGACAGCCACCATAGTAGAGTGGTTGGAGTGTTAGACTAGGCCAGCAGAGTTCGAATTCCCACTAGGCCATTAAACTCACCAGGTGACCTTGGGCAAGTCACACTCTTAGCCCCAGAAGAAGGCAATGGCAAAGTGTCTATGAACAAATCTTGCTAAGAAACCCCCCGATAGAGTCATCATAAGTCTGAGCTTTAGCTTTCGTTATACTATTCCTATAAGCTTTGGCTTTACATCTGTACATTTCCTTGGTGATTCATTCTTCTGCTTCTTTTATTTTATTTTCACTTCCTCCTTGAGCTTACTATGCAGTCACCTTGGCTTTTTCAGATGTGTCCCTTTTTTCTTCTTCCATGAAATATTTTGAAACTCATTTTTCAAGAATTCCCACACTTGATTTATATATTTTCCCTCTAGGGTAGTCATGAGATTTCACTCAGCATTTCCTTGAACTTACTTAAATCATGTTTTCCTGAAACCCAATGTCTGTTTTTGACTGTATTTTTCTTTGCCCTGTCCCACAACTGTGAATTCATTGCACCGACACTTTGCCTTAAAATACCAACTACTTTGGTTCCAGTGACCAACTCCTTCTTATTGATTAGGATCAAGTCCATGATTGCTTACCCCTTGTTGCTGCCTCCATGTTTTCAAATGGGAAATCATCTACAAGGGTGTCTGTGCCCTACACCACTGGAGAAATTACACTGTTTAGTCTGTATTGCACCACCTGACATCTGCCGGGAAGTAGCAACCAATACTGAAAGGACCAAGGCAGTGACATCTCCGGCCCACCCCCTGTTTGGGTATCAGCCAGCACGCCAATGACTTAAATCAAGAAATCGTTTTTTAAGATCTACAGGGACACTCGCTGGAACACCTCAGCAAGCGAGAGTCCAAAAGTGGCAGGCTCAAACCCAGAACCTCAATCAGTGGCTGATATCAAATGAGAGACTCCCTCCTGGGCACACAGAAAACTGGGTGACTTGGAAGGCGCTGAACAGACTGCCCTCTGGCACCACAAGATGCAGAGCCAACCTAAAGAAATGGGGCTACAGAGTGGAATCCACGACATGCGAGTGTGGAGAAGAGCAAACCACAGACCACCTGCTGCAATGTAACCTGAGCCCTGCTACATGCACAATGGAGGACCTTCTTATAGTAACACCAGAGGCACTCCAAGTGGCCAGCTACTAGTCAAAGGACATTTCATCAACTACCAAATTTGCAAATTTGTGTTTTGTTTGTTTGTTGTAATGCAATACAACTGTTTGGTTCACTCCTGACACGATAAATAAATAAATTCAAGGCACATTAATAATTTGTCAGACAGGCTATGTTTAGTGGAGTTAGTCTCGCATCAGATATCAGGGTAATGGAAGTCCCCCATAACTACTAATTTTTGAGTCTTGCAGATTTCTGAGATTTTTTCCTGAAAAGTATCACCCACAACTTCTTCATGCGTTGGTGGGCTGTACCAAACCCCTCTTACAATTTGGTTTTTATTGCTTTCTCCAATTATATGTACCCAAAAGCACTCAAATGGTCCTCCCTGATCATTCTCATGGATTTCTATGCATCTGAATTTGCCTTTGACATATGTTGCTTTCCTCCTATTCTGCCACATCTCTTCTTTTTGAATAACTTATATCCTTCAATCATAAGATTCAAATCATGGGAGCGATAAAACTAGATGTCTGTTATGCCTCTAAAGTCATATTTATCTCCTTGTACTAGGATGTCAAGCTCATCTTGTTTATTTCCCAAACTCTGTATGAAGGTGTACAGATACCCAAAGTTGTTTGTTTGTACCTATTAATTTATTGTTGGTTTTTACTGTGGATCCTATTTTGTTCCTCAGCTTCTCCTCTAGAACTCCCACCCTTGTGTTTAGAGCTTGCTTTTGGGCTAATGATTGAGCTGTCATCTTCAAGCCCCCAAATAATTAGTCTAAAGCCTTTTGATCAGACACAGTATGAATACATTCATATTTTGGTTAGCACTATTAACTCTTTAGCTTATAGACAGAAATGTGAATTTTAATCTTAAATGTTCCTGTCTTCTGAAGCCTCGACATGGAAGTATGAATTTTAATCTTTAAGAAATTTATCTTCTACAGCTTTCTAGAAATGTCCTGGTATTTTCCTATTAAATGAATGCTGATTTCTTTTTTTGGTGGGACAATATTCACTATATTTTACAAGCATGATTTATTTTGCTATTTGGACATCACAACATTTAACATTTCAGACACACCAGAAATAGATGTGCTCAATTCTTACTTTGCATGAAAAGCAACTATGAAAGTACTCTATTTCAACTGATAAATAGCTTTTCAAGTTATATGTCCTTGAGTTCTCAGGACACTTCTAAATTTGCGCCTTTTCAATCCTTGTTTCTTTGTTGCATGTGCACCAAATAAGTACTGTCATATATTATTATTTCCATCCAGGGCATTTAATGATGTTACATCAATGAGCAACGCTGACTCAGACTCCAGAAAAAGAGTGATCTCTATTGAAGAAGATCCTGTGGCAAACTCTATTGGAGAAGGCCCTTATTTCCCTGAGGAACCTGTAGGACAAAACTCTTTGTTCAAAGAACTGAATGAAGCTATAGCAGCTCAGATCAAAGCATCTGAGTCACACCAACAACAAATAAATGACTTTGTTGTTCAAGGACGGGAACCTATGGCTCAAACTAAGCAAAGTGGAAATTCTCAGAAAAGGTTCATACAGGAAAAAATACCTCCAAAGGAAGCTCCCTCAAAAAGTAGTGGTCCAGAAAAGAGGACTTCTGAAATACTTATTGGCAAGGCCAGATTACAAGGAGAGATGCATCATAAAGAAGGACCAAATCAAGTTCAGGGCAGTTGTCTGGAGGTGAAGCAGAATAATCCCAGAGTCAAAATGCCAGAGCCCATGCCAAGAAGAAGTCTTATGCCTGAGGCTCAACCATTGGCTTATTCAGGGCTGAAGACACATGTTGATAGTGACTGCAAAGAGGGCTCACTGCTAGCTTTAGAGCAAGGAGTGATAAGGTTATCTCCAGAGATGAAAATGCCAGATAAAGACATATTTGAGACTTTGGTGAAAGATGTGACACCATCTGATTTTTCACACAGGAGCTCTTTGCCCAACGTGAACATTGGAAGTGGATCCAAAAGTTCATTTGTCCCAAACAGCCAATTTAAAAATATGCCTGAGCCAGAAGTGCAGGCAACCCCCCCCAAAGAGCCAAAAAAACTGTTATCAGAAAATAGACCAGACAGAAACATGCACATATCGAGTTGTAAGAATAATCATGACGTTAAAGCAATAAAGGATGAAGAAGCAAAAGTTAAAGCAGATAATAGGGATTGCCAAATGAATGTAGGCACAAAAGAAAGTTCTAACGTCACCAAAGCTGTTAGTTCTCATCCAGATCACTTGTACAATGTGCTCTTTGTAGGAAATACTGATGTTGGCAAGACTTCCTTTTTGTGTCGGCTACAGGAGGATTCATTTAGTGGAAATGTGACTGCGACTATAGGTATGAAATGAATCTATCACCTTATGCTATGATGCAATGTGGTATGCATCTAGATATTTCTCTTGGAAGGCACTGGGTTCAGTGATGGCTTTTCTATTCGCTTTTAACTGGACTGCAGAAAAGTGTGTTGGTGACAGTAAGCTTTCTCCCTAAAGCTTCCCTAAACCACTTGAGGGCAAACACATACAAAAGCTAAGTATTTTTATGGAAAATGGAGATAGAGTTGATGATGCTGTTGAAATGTTTAACCTTAAAAGTGTGGCATGTGAGGAGTTGGAAATAATAATAATAATAATAATAATAATAATAATAATTCTTACCTGCTTCTTCTTATGGCTTGAGGTGGATTACAACATCACTAAAACATATTATTATCTAAAAACTTCTATAAAATACTCATATTAAAACATATTTCTATAAAATGCATATTAAAATACACAGAACAAAGATTAAACTTAAGATGCAAGTTTAACATTTGTAATTAAAACTGGCTGGGTAGGCCTGCTGGAAGAGAAAGGTCTAAAATGTGTTCTCCTCACACACCCCTTTGGCTGATACACCAGCTGCATCCCTTCCTAGATTTGGAGAACTTGAAAATGGTAGTGCATGTACTAATTACCTCAAGCACTCCTGACTGTCGCATCTACCTGGGCTGACATTTTGGGAGATAGATCCAGGAGTAGGAGATTCAGTTTCAATTTGTTTTTCCTCATCCAGCCCATTACCCCCACCAGGCATTAATTCAGAGGAGACACACTATTTTTGGTTGAAGCTGTTTTTGAAGGCATGGAGAGATATATTTGGGTGTCATCACCATACTGATAACACCCTGCCCCATGCCTATGGATGATATCTCCCAGTAGCTTCATGTAAATATTAAAGATCATTGGGATAGAATGGCATCTTCTGGGACACCACATAACAGCTCCTTTTTTGAGGAGCAACTATCTCCAAGCACCACCATCTGGAACCTGCTTGAAAGGTACGACCAGAACCACTGCAGCACAGCGCCTCCAATTCCCACAAGGATGCCATGGTTAATAATATCAAAAGCTGGAGTTTGATGAGACATCAGTATTATTTGGTAGAGAAAGCTAAAGTTCTTCTCAAACCAAAACTCCCTGAACTATTGTATTAGAACTATTTTGTAAGAATTATGGGATTACAAATGCCAGGTCCTCATAGGATGGGGTAATGACAGTTAAAGTGGTATCTCACTGCTATAGGCATGCAGTGTATATACCCTGTGGGACAGAGTGAATTCCTCTAACTTGTTTCCTGAATGTGGGGAATAGTTACTCAAGTCTTCCTGTATCCTTCTCTGTGTAGTATGAGACTAAACTATAGTTTTGCTTTGGTGCAGAACTTAAAATGATGCATAGTCAGTTACCCTATTGATGCTAGGCATTTGAATCTCGTTTTTTCTTAGCAGAGACTATTATTTTGATGGTACTTTTCTCCCTCCCTCCTCTTTTTCTTTTTCTCCATCTGCACACACATATAGGATAACAATCAATACTATCTTGGAAGGATGTCAGTTTCTCTCTTCCTGTCAGGTTTTCTACCCTCAATATTTATATTCTCATAATAGAGAACATTTTGAGTGCTATACTGTCCATGATTGTCCATTTTTGTAAAATGTCAATAGGGGGCATAAGAGACGGGCAGTATTTTATTTTTATCAGTAGAAGTGGAGCCTGTCCTTTTCACTTCTTTCAAGCAACTGGAGACACTAGCTGAACTTTGCTGAAATAGCTGTATTGTCTTCCCTAGGAATTGACTATCGGATCAAAAACCTCTTTGTGGATGACAAGTGCTTCACTTTACAACTGTGGGACACAGCTGGACAAGAAAGGTATCACAGAGGGTTGTACTGAGGAGACAGTGATGATGAATTTGATGATAGTGGACTTTGACTTTTTTAAAGTCAGTAAAAGTTTGTCATATGAAATCTTCTAAGAAAATGAAACCTCCCCCAGCGCAGCTACAGTGCTGGTAAAAATCCAGTCCAGAGTGAAAACAGAAAAAGGTAGTCATACTTAATGGTTATGTGGAAGAGGAAATTTCAGCAAGTGATAAGCAAGAATTGCTAAAACTCCCTCTTATACACAACCATTAAGTATGACAGACCTCTCCAGTTTTTAATATGGAAACAATTCTTTGACTTCTAAATATTTTTCAGTTCCCTAATCGAAGATGGGTTCAAATTCAGTACATCTTCAGCTGGCCCAGTGTTGACTGTGGGGGACCCAAACTATTTTTGGCAAGACTAGACTGCTGAGTGTCTGTGCAAATTTACAATAGGGCTGTGCTTGGATTATATATATTTGTAATGGCATCAAAAAAAGAGTGGGTGTTGATGTACTTGCATATTGCCTCCCTAAGCATACAGACACACACCACTTGACTATATTTGCCTTTGCCAATGTGCGTATAGTTGTATTTTTCTCATGAGAGAAGGACAAATTGTTAAATACAGTTGCAGCTCTTTTTTCTGCAACTTCATTGCTTTAGAAAACATTGCAGATGTGTTTGTAATTACTTCAGAATATTTTAAGAGCTGCCCTATTTTTCTATGTAAACAGCCTTGAGAAATTTTTGTGACCCATTTCACGCACAGATATACAGAGCCAATCATGTTGTGAAAAGATGATGAGTTTTTCCCTTTTGTTTCAACACGCACCTGCTCTAACAGCCAAATTCTTCATTCTGATATGAAGACAAACTTCTATTTGAAAACATATCCTGGTTGACCTGGGATGAGAATTGTGTGGTTCTTCAGATGCTGGAATTGTTAGAGTGTGGTTAGAGATCTTGATTTAAGAAGCAAATATACCAGTAATTTGGAGAAATAAACTAAATTTTCTAGTTGGAACTCTATTCTAAGATAAGAGAGTTACTCAGTATGCTGATCTAAGCTAGCTACATCTTGGAAGGTCAAGAGAGAATTCATGGGAAGAAGAAAAAGTGAAGGAGACATCCCTAAGACTACCAGTTTACATTAGAGAGGTCAGAATGGGTAAACACAGAGGGAGGACACTTTGGGTCACTCAAACTATCTAATCCTATTACCTTTGTTCGCTATGAGGCATGCTTCATTCTTCAGTACTACTTAGCACAAGAGCTGCAACTGTATTTAACAATTTGTCCTTCTCTCATGAGAAAAATACAACTATACGCACATTGGCACATTGTGTTTCCAATAGGACTACAAAACTCAGCAATGTAAGCCATCATATGGAGCTTTGTGTTTGTTGGAGCTTTGTGTTTATTTAGTAATTTATGAGTTTAAAATGATGTTACGATGCACTGTTTTGTGACATATGTGTTTGTTTATCACCAAGGCATTGAATGTTTGCCTTTGTTCGGAAGCTGCTCTGAGTCCCCTGAAGAGATAGAGCAGCCTATAAATAAAATTTTATATCATCATCATCATCATCATCATCATCATCATCATCATCATCATATGTTGGTGTTGAAGAATGCTAGGGATTACACTCTACTGACATTTGGAAGGCTGGGTGATTTCCATCCCTGAAACCTGTCAATGTGAATGTTGTAGGAAAATGCATTTCCTCCCCACAGATACCACAGTCTCACCAAGCAGTTCTTCCGAAAGGCTGATGGAGTGGTATTGATGTATGACATCACCTCAGAATGCAGTTTTGCCGATGTCAAGTATTGGCTCAGCTGCATCCAGGTAAGGATGGCAATTCTATCCTGTTACTGATTTCTTTCCCTCATTTATGTTTGCATGAGTTTAACTTTAGCTAGCAAAGAACTTGTTATAGATATACTAAAAATAATCTTGTGTGTTGTCATTCAGAAGTAAATCTGCTTTCATTGAGGCTTAATTCCTAATAGATGTGTATAGATTAAAGTATTATTCCCATTGTGTTATCCCAATGCACCTAAACAGCATGATGAAATACATTGGCTATTCCATAAAATTAAGATAGCAGCAAGAGGTATTAGAAGTATGGGAATGGGACAAAAAGTTTTGTCTCCTGTGTCATAAAAATGTTATGATTGAACATATATTAGCAGAAGTTGTTAGATCATAGCTGGAGCTATCCTCTACACCAGGGGTCCTCAAACTAATGCCCGGGGGCCAGATACAGCCCTCCAAGGTAATTTACTTGACCCCCGCTCGGGATCACCCTAAGTCTGAATTGACTTGAAAGCACACAACAACAACAATCACCAACTGAAAGCAAAATTATTCTTCATTTTAGTTATTTATTGTTTTTAAGTGTTTTTTGCATTACAAATAAGATATGTGCAGTGTGCATAGGAATTCATTCATGTTTTTTTCAAATTATAATCCGGCCCTCCAACAGTTTGAGGGACTGTGACCTGGCCCTCTGTTTAAAAAAGTTTGAGGACCCCTGCTCTATACCAATGGTTCTCAACCTGTGGGTCCCCAGGTGTTTTGACCTACAAGTCCCAGAAATCTCAGCCAGTTTACCAGCTGTTAGTATTTCTGGGAGTTGAAGGCCAAAACATCTAGGGACCCACAGTTTGAGAACCACTGTTCTACTCAAAACTACCATTCAACATAGTCACCATCAATTTGTACACATTTGCACCATCGTTTAACCCAGGCATCAAACCCATTTTGGAAAAATTGGGGGGTTTGTATGTGACCCATGATTTTAAAGCTATTTTGATGTCATTCAAGTCATTGAATCTTTTACCTGTTTAGACCAAGAAATTGCTAGAAACAATCCACTAAAACAATGGAATAAGTGGGTGCCGAGGAGGCAACCGTTAGAAAAACCAAGGAGTGCTATATTCTAATAACTTATACTTCTGTGGACCAGTTACAACCTAATATATCACAGAGCTGTGATGAGACAATGAGGAGGAGGACCACGTATCCCTCCTTGACCTCCATAGAGGAAAAACAGAACATAAATACAACTGAAACAATACTGTTGTTGTTAGGAGGAATTGCACTTGGAACTTCGTGTATAGATTTGTTTTTTTTTTTAAAGCATGAACAAAGTTAAATGAACAAGCAAGGACATTTTGTACCTCCTACTTAATTGACTGGTAGGGGAGTAAATCAATTTCTAGCATAAAGTCATCCTAATTTGAGATTGGAGCCTGGCCAGTAAAACAATTCAGAAAAAGAAACCTCTTTGATGTCAATGAAGCTGTATGTGTTTTTTCAAGCCCTTATGTGGAATGAGGTGGGTGTTTGTGTGTAGGAGTGAAATTAATAACAATCAGATGGGGAGGTTTAAAGTTCCCCTGCCCATGGATACTTGTCCCAATATGAACTGGATTCTAATCTGCTTGCTCTTGAATAAAACAAAAAGCAAACCAGTGGCACAGTACATGATTAATATGTAGCCTGGTACAGTTTTGGTACATGTGAACATGTCCTTTTGGGGATGGAGTGCAGAGGGTTTTACTCTTGGAGTTGCACTCTATTAAAAGGTTAACTTCTTGTCAACTGTCAAGCCCTAGGAGGGACCCTGGTGCTTTAGCTTATTAGTGTAGAAGTTAAGGAATTGGGATTCAGACCATGAAGACCCAATTGCTCTGGATTCTCAGGGAATGAAAAGGCAGATGTGCTCCATTTGAGAGCACACCCTCATTTCTTCTCCCCATCAGACCAATTTGAGACTAGTTTTTCTGTGCCTTCCCCCATTCCTTTCCCCATTGGTGAGCAACAGCAGTAGGGTGCCCTTCTGGGCCTAGAAAGCTTCCAGGTGATTTTTTTGTATGTGTGTGTCAGGAGCGACTTGAGAAGCTGCAAGTCGCTTCTGGTGTGAGAGAATTGGCCGTCTGCAAGGATGTTGCCCAGGGGATGCCCAGATGTTTTGATGTTTTACCATCCTTGTGGGAGGCTTCTCTCATGTCCCCACATGGGGAGCTGGAGCTGACAGAGGGAGCTCATCTATGCTCTCCCCGGATTCAAACCTCGGACCTGTTGGTCTTCAGTTCTGTTGGCACAAGGGTTTAACCCATTGTACCTCCAGGGGCTCCTTCCAGTTGGTGGGAGCATATGAAATGGTGCATGGAACTACAGACACAAGTAGGTTGTGTGGTTTGAGTCATTCAGGAAAAGTTGGCATTAGGAGCTGAAATAGCACAGAAAGAATGGGTTCCTATACCACTCAAAAGGTGTCTTTCTTCACAGGAAGGAGCAGGAAATGAGGTTATTGTTCTTCTGCTTGGTAACAAAACTGACTGTGCTGCTGAAAGAAGAGTATCAATGGAGGATGGTGAATACTTGGCCAAGGTATGCCCCTGAACACTTTTTTCAATCTGTTCCTCATCCAGTTAAGGCTAAACATACCAAATTCAGGTTAAATCTAACCCATAATAATGGATAGGTCTCTTCTGGAAAATTTTAGCTATCACTATAGGAAATGGAGAATGTAGATGAGTATGGAGGAAGAAGTGATGGCCCTGTGGTAGCACCCTCTCCTTCTTACTTCTTTACAGATTTTGGAAAAGTTCCTGATTTGGCCCATAATTCCCAGAATATTTTACCAGCCATGCCAGCTAAGGGATACTGGGAGGAGGTCGAGCCCAACATGTTGTAGTGCCTTGAGTAGTGGAGTATGACTCTGGAGATTAGGGTTCAATTCCCTGCTCAGCCTTGAAAACCCTCAGGCAAAGCACATACTGGTATTCCCAGCTCTAGAAAACCCAGTAAATGGGTCACCTTAGGATGACTGTAAACAGCTTGAAGGCACAAAACAACAGTTAAATTTCAAGTTCTGCTTTTTATTTTAAAAACAAAAACAAAATGGATAATTACCCTCAAATTGGCAAATAAATAGCACAGCTGTGGCTAAGATTATTGTATTCTGTCCTTTTTCATTTCACTTTCCCAACCACAATTTATATAAATCAAACAACTATGCGTCTGATAAAGTGGACAGTGTCCCTGAAAACTCATGCCATAAGAAATCATGTTAGTCCTCAAGGTGCCAGGAGATTTTTTTTTTGTCATTTGGAGATCTCCTTTCTTATCTTCCCATTCTCTTAGAACTTGGGTTGATTGAAAAGGTATGGTTGCTTGTCATTTATTTATTTATTTATTTATTTGGGATTCTTGTACCCCGCCCTTCTCACCCCGAAGGGGACCCAGGGCGGCTTACAGCTGCAAGTCATGATTAATTTCAAGTTAAAAATGTATTGGAGCTAAAAGTTTTTAAATATCCTTTGCTGGCCCAGTCAAGACCCACTGAAGACAAAATGTAAACAACCTTTTTTCTTCTTCTTTAAAGCTGGAACAGAGGCATTGGTCCATGACCAGTATGTGGATGTGTAACTTCTAGATCAGTTGGTGGGACTGAAAGCTGGGTTGGCAACTACTGGCATTATAAAAACATACTTCATGTATAATTGTAACAGTGTCTTATGCATTTGTGCCAGGAATATGGACTCTCATTTTATGAATGCAGTGCTGCTTCCGGTCACAATGTGACTGATTCCATGGTCAAGTTAGTCAGGTGAGTCGTTGGTCCCTGCCTGTTTTCAGGTTGTGGATCTCAATGTATCAGCTTGTAGAATGAAAAATAAAATTGTTAAACAAAAAACAAACCCCAAACCATAGAAACTCTCTGACCTTCAACCAATAGTGTGAATGAATGAAGTTTTACAAAAACATAGTTCTTTGGAATATGATAGGTTTTTCCTACCTATATGGTTACTTCTATAGCTAACAGGCTCAGGTTTGATGAAGAGGATTCCCACAAGGGACATAAAGATGTGTGAAGTCAATAGAAGCACAGAGTAATAGAGTTGGAAGAGACCACATGGACCATCTAGTCCAACCCCCTGCCATGCAGGAAAAGCACAAAATATCACTGACAGATGGCCATCCAGCCTGTTTAACAGTTTCCAAGGAAGGAGCTTCTACCACACTCCAAGGCAGAGAGTTCCACTGTTGAACAGCTTGTACGGTCAGGAAGTTCTTCCTAATGTTCAGATGCGATATCCTCTCCTGTAGTTTGAACCCATTGTTTCAAGGGCAGCATAAGACAAGTCTGCTCCCTCTTTCTTATGACACCCTAGTTTCACATATTTATACATGACTATCATGTCTCCTTTCAACCTTCTCTTCTGCAGGCTAAACAGGCCCAGCTCTTTAAGACGTTCCTCATAGGGCATGCTCTCCAGACCTTTGATCATTTTAGTTGCCCTCCTTTGGACACCTTCCAGCTTGTCAATATCTCTTTTGAACGGTGGTGTCCAGAATTGGATTTAAAATAACATTTTAAACAACATTGTAAACAGCAAGGCATACCCTTGCATATAACTACACAGTTATAGCACTTTTATTCTGCTTTAACTGCCCTGACAGCATCACGTCATATCCTGGGATTTGCAGCTTATGGAGAAGTATTTAGAAATCTCAACCACAGAGATCAAAAGACATTGAATTCCAAGCAGAGGTTCACTTTTTCCTACCAGGGTAGACAGGAGGGATTTTTGTATGATTTTATTTCAAATGTCTCCTTGTAACACCTATGGAGCTACATTCTGCATAGTAATCATTATAGCAAGAGATAGAACATCCTGAGCAAAAACAAAGTTTCTTTAAGAATAAAAAGTAAGTTGTAAGCCAACACATTTCATGAATTGAACAAGCCTGTTCTTTGGAGGACTAATGATTAAACATGGGCCACATTTTAATTATCAACTATATGACTGAAAATATGTGAAAGCTGCTATTCAGATGGTATGGGAAAGATTGATAATCGGCTATTTTCCCACAGAATATTAAACCCACCTTTCTTTCTATGTTTATAATGGCAGGTTGCTGAAAGCCCATGAAGACCAGCTAAAACAGGAATTTCTGGAGTTAACAGTAATACCTAAAAAGAAAAGCAGTTGTTGCTCGTAACAATAGTGAAAAGATGAACACAAAGTGTTAAGAGCTAATGCATATCAGCAGATTTGATGTAATTATCTGTATTTTGTATCATCTGGCATGGAGGCTACTTCATATAGTGCTGGAACAGAGCCATTTCATAAGACCAGGTTTAGACTGATGGCATGCATTATAAAGCAGATCTCAAACTTTCCATCTCATACTGTACAGCAAAAGTTTCAAACTTTGGTCTATAGAACTTGCAGAATGAGCAAGAATATCTATAATTTATTTATATTTTCTGACATCATATTGGCAAATAGGGAGTTTGTTCCCAAAAGGTACCAAATACCCGCAAAATGAAAAGTGAGTTATAGATGTCAGCACGTTGATGGCTAGGAGTAGACTATTATCCACAAATCTAAACTATCAAAATACATATATCCAATCAGTTCAGTACAGGACTTGGGGAAAATTGGATTTTATGTCAAAAGAATGCTTATTCTCAGCACATTCCCCCCACCCCCTGATTCCTGTAAAAATTGTTCAGATGGATTTGATACCTTTTGGAAACAAGTTCCACAAATGTATAAGTGACACAAAAATACATATTTAATTATTCTCTTTTAAAAACTCTTCCATTTTTCATTCTTTTCATTCTATATATATGTGTGATTAATAACTTTAGTCAGTCAAGCCACTAGCTAGAGTAAATTTCCACTGAAGGCATTTCACAATGATCTTGTTCATGGGGAACATAAAACATTGATACTATACAAATCATGAGACAGACCATAGCATGTTTAAGTGAGGCTCTGAACAAATCTGAGTTATAACGTATCACTGAAGTCTATAGGAATTTTGCCACAAAACTTCAATAGGTACTGGATGGCGATCTTAATTCACAAGCATCTATTTGCATTGATAAATTAAGGTGAACACCACACATATAACTTTCTATGTCACTGGCAGTATGGTACTTTCTTGGGGTCAAGGGAGAGCCAGTCTGCCATGTTCTTGACTTCAGGCATTTCAGAACACTGTGAGTGTAAAAATTGATGGATTTCTCTGAATAATTGTATAGCTAGAGTTGTAAATCAGTTGTTCTCACTGTCTAATATGGACATACTTCTCTTTGTCCCACTACTTTCTTATACTCATTTGGTGGGACAAAAAAGAGGGCCTTCTTGGTGATGGCTCCCAGCCTTTGGAAATCCTTCCCTAAGGGAAACAGTGTGTCTCCCTCCTTCCATTGGCAATTAGAAACATTTTATGTCACAAAGCTCCAAAAAATTGAATATGTTGGCCTTTTAATGACATGCTACGCAGATTTGTGGTTTGTCGAATCTATAAATAAAATTTATTTTAATGTTCTGTTGTTTAAATTATAAAATGCTAATTGCTTTATAATTAATGTTTATATTGATACTTTTACCAGTGTTTTTATACAGCATTTTAATCCAAATCTGTAATTTGGGGACAAAATTATTAGAAATATAATGTATAACAGTATCATCAGGCTATGTATATCAGGTGTGTATGAAACATAAATGAATTTTGTGTTTAGACCTGGGTCCCATCTCCAAGATTATGTATATGCAAACACTCCAAAATTCACAAAACAACAACCCTGAAACCCCAAACATTTCTTTTTCCCAAGCATTTTGGATGAGGATACTCAACCTCTAATACATATAAATAAATATATTATATTAAATGTTGGTTATGCACAGAAGGTGGCGATCTTCTTGCTTTTGTATATTCACACTCTGGCCTTATGGTTGTTTTTACTTGCATGATCCTCCACCAGAGGAGGGCAGCAAACACAATTTGAACTTAATCAATTGTATTAACAAAGTGGGGCCAATTTGAATTTCTTCCAGGTTATGTCTGTAAACAACTTAAAAATCAGCAAAAATGAAATGACTTTTCTAATGAAAACAGCTGTTTATAACTAAATTGCACCAGTATGAAAAACAAATTAAACACTAATCACAATCATCCTATAAACAAGAGTAAAGCATTGTGTTTGGTGACTAAGATCAGAGATGATAACAACTGGAGCATAAATAATACAAAATATGCTGTATTGCAAATATTACTTCATGGGGATTTGTAGGATCAAGGATTGGTGTTGCACAGGCATGTAGCCGGGGGGGGGGGGGCGGCTTGAGGGGCTTCAGCCCCCCCCCCCGGAAATTCTCATGGTGGTTCGCGAAAAGGCCTTACTGGTGCATTATTTAAACTGTTATGTTTATTCATATCATGATCTGATCACCATACTCAATATATCCCATATGCATGGGGGTATTGGGGTAATGATACAAAAGGTTTGCTAGGGTAGACCCTCTTTCACTCAGACTCAGCCCCCCCGAAACTCAGCCCCCCGAACCCCCCCTGAAAAAAAATCACCCCCCCCCCAAAACGAAATCCTGGCTACGGGCTGGTATTGCAGAAAGAAAGAAAGAAAGAAAGAAAGAAAGAAAGAAAGAAAGAAAGACAGACAGACAGACAGACAGACAGACAGACAGACAGACAGACCGACCGACCGACCGACCGACCGACCGACCGACCGACCGACCGACCGACCGACCGACCGAAGGATAGAAAGACAGATCATAAACAATGTTCTAGATTATTTTATGGGTATTTTAGGGCCCTTCCACACAGGCATATAACCCAGAATATTGAGGCAGCAAATCCCACAATATCTGCTTTGAACTAGATTATATGACAGTGTGGACTTGGATAACCAAGTTCAAAGCAGATATTGTGGGATTTTCTGCCTTGATATTCTGGGTTATATGGCTGTGTGAAGGGCTCATAGATTCTCAAAAGGGAAATGAAAATGCTGCAAAACTCAGTGGCAAACCACCTTTGGGTATTCCTTGCCTATGAACTTCACATGATTGTCATAGGTTGACAAGCAACATGGAGGCATGCATGTACAAAATCCATATTGATTTGGCGGAAAATGGAAAAGCAAAGAGTCATAACCCTAATACAAAAGGAGAGTGGGCAGAAAAGGCAGAGAAGAGGCAACTTGGAGAAATTCAACAAAATCAAGATTTGGGAGCACTCATACAACCACAATAGTTGGAGGAGACTACAAGGGCTATCCAGTCCAGCCCTCTCAAATCACTCCCAACAGATAAATTTTGTGTATTACTTTAAATTTCTCCCTGTTGAAAATAATTTTGCTAGTTTTGGCCCAACCTAAGTGTATCACCATACATGTTATTGTCTAAGTGTAGTACTGAACATAAAATTGATGTTGTTAATTTGGGTCCAGCTCTCTAATCTATCAAGGTCATTTGGATTCTGAGACTATCCTCTGGGATATTAGCTATTTCTTCTAATTTTGTGTCATTTGCAACTTTGACAAGCCTGTCCTCTAAACCTTCACCCAAGTAATTAATAAAGATGTTGAACAGCACTGGGCCTAGGACCGAACCCTGAGGTACTCGACTAGTCACTTCTTTCCAGGATGAAGATGAACCATTGTTGAGCCCCCCCCCCTCGGGTTTGGTTGCTCAACCAATTCCCAATCCACTTAACAGGACCACTGTCTGGTCCAGGGTTTCTTAAACTGTGGGTCCCAACCCCGAATGAGGTCCCCCTAGCTCATTGATGGGGTCCTGAACAGTAAAAGTTTTCTGAACAAGACCTGGTGGCTGTTTTAGACATTTACACAAATCTGTTGTACAACATTGACAGTGGACACTGCAGAAGATGCTTCAACTGCATTTCATAACGAGGTTAATCGGCTTCTTTAATAAGTTTTGTAAAAGCTTTTTGTGTGTGTCAGTAGCGACTTGGGAAACTGCAAGTCACTTTTGGTATGAGAGAGTTGGTCTTCTGCAAGGACGTTGCCCAGGGGATGCCCAGATGTTTTTGATGTTTTACTATCCTTGTGGGAGGCTTCTCTCACGTCTACGCATGGGGAGTTGGAGCTGACAGAGTGAGCTCATCCGTGCTCTCCCCGGATTTGAACCTCCGAGCTGTTGGTCTTCAGTCCTGCTGGTGCAAGGGTTTAACCCATTGCACCACCGGGGGCTTGTGAATGCTGATTTGCTATCAGTAAATGTTAGATTTTTATACCCATTTTTTACATCATATACCTGGGTCATATAAACATGTCTCAAGCCAAAAGGGGTCCCACAAAAGGAAAGGTTTAAGAAGTCTGAGTCTCGTCCATATTTCCCTAGCTTGTTTGCAAGAATATAATTGCAAACCTTGTCAAAAGCCTTATTGAAATCAAGATATAGGACCTGGTTGAAATAGTGATCGAAGACCCCCAGAAACAGGGTATATTCCAGTGTGATAAGCTCTAAGGGGCCGGATTACTCAAAAGCTTCATGAGAACCACCACTCCTCTTAATGTTCCTCCAGCAACAATAAGAGTATCCCTCTAGGCAGCAAAACCGGGAAATCCCAATTGGATGGCCCCCCATGAGGGTCTGCCTCCAGAGGCAAACCAAGAATGGGCAACTTGGAAGTCCTTGAGCGGACTCAGAAGTGGAGCGGGCAGATCAAAAGACAGCATGGTAAAATGGCACTATCTAAAAGAATCCTGCACCTCGTGCGACTGTGGAGTAGAACAGACAACTCTGCATCTGTATGCTTGTCTGCAATGTCCTGCCTCACGTAGAGGAAAAGTTGTTGGAGGCTACAGACAATGCGGTTGCTGTTGCCCATTTTTGGTCAAAAAATATTTAGCCACTTGTGCTGCTTGTATTTTTATCAGTTTTATACTAATTTATGCAATGCTTTTGATACGAAATAAATAACTCAAAGGCAAGGAAGGATGATGAAGCAGGGCAGTGCTACCACTGCTGGAAGATGCTTTATAGGCAGGCAAGTAGATGAATTGGTGAGAAATGTGATCATGACAAGAGGTCATAAAGTTGTGGGTGGCAGTAGTTAGAAATGTGGTGACATGCTGCATAATTATGGTCTTATTGTTGACACTATCATGTTTTTATTGTGGGAATGGGGTTTCTGGAGAAGGAAGAGGACAAGGTGTCATTTTCTCCCTCTCAAAACCTTTTTAAATTGAGTAGGAAGTAGAGATTTAAAAATCACGCATGACAGGAAATCCTTGCCCCACAAACCCAAATCCATCTGTTCAGGATAAAGGCATTAGACAGGCCAATTACTGAGTCTCCACTCTTCCTTCCTTTTGTTCCTGTCCCCCAGCTGCCACCGTGAACATCCCTGAAGCTCTGTATACATCCCTGAAGCTCACAATTTCTCAGGATCTGTTGGACTTGTTCATTTTAATTTAAAAAACCAACAGACAAGTGGTTATGGAGTTCAACTTGGCTACAGCTGGTTCTCTGTATCCACAGATCTTGAATGCATGGATTAACCCCACCCCAAAATTCCAAAAAGCAAATCTTAATTTTTACATTTTATATAGGGGATGCTATTTTGTTATGCCACGGCATATAATTGGACACCTGAATAATCTGAATTATCCGTTTTGAAGTGGGATATGTGGCCACACAGCCCTATATCCCAGAATATCAAGGCTGAAAATCCCACAGTATCTGCTCTGAACTAGGCTATCTGAGGGCCCTTCTACACACCCATATAACCCAGAATATAAAGGGAAAAATCCCACAATATATGCTTTGAACTAGGTTATCTGAGTCTACACTACCATATAACCCAGTTCAAAACAGATAATGTGGGATTTTATACAGCTGTGTGAAAGAGGACTCAGTTAACTGGAACTCAACCAACTGGAACTCTTAGGCAACAAGTGAAAAAAAGCAAAGAAATAATACCTTAAATAAAAATTAAAATAAAGTCAATATTTATAATGCAGTAAAATAAATATGAATAATACAGTAAAGCTGTATTAAGTTTGTCTTTACTTGCTTTTTGTTACTTTATTTCAGTATAATTGTAAGTATTATTATTTTACTGACACAAAAATGCAGTATGTCACAGCAAACAAGATATATATGCTGGATTTCTTATCACAAAATCACAAGTCGAACACTTTCCAAGCGTCTAGGACTGTGTGATATATTTTCAAATGATGCACGTAGATCCAAGTAAGGTGGCCTTTTGTAGTTGACAGATTGTGATTTTGTCAATGTTTAGTTTCCAAATGCTGGCTGAGGTCTTTTGGCATGGCACCCAGTGTGCCGATGACCACTGGGACCACCTGTACTGGTTTATGCCAGAGCCTTTGAAGTTCAATTTTGAGTTTTTCCTGTTTTTCCTCAATGCGACTGTCACCCGGTATGGCGACATCAATGATCCAAACTTCCTCCTCCTCCTCCTTATTATTTGTTACCCGCCACTTCTCACAACTCTAGGCAGGGTACAACAGTCAAAACACATCAACATAAACGGAATAAAACACATTTTAAAGCATATGCTACAAAGATTAAAATACAGTAATAGTATCAAGTCAATACAGAATAGGTGATAGTATGATAGCTGGGTCCGGAAGCTCCGAGTGTTAAGGAGATGCGTAAAGGCGGTTGTGAATAAGGGAAGGGATCACGTTGCCGAGAGAGGGGGCGGAGTGAGAGAGGGGAGAGCGGCACAGTCAGGGCGGGAATATACTTTGTAGTTGCATTTGAAGGAAGGATAGAAAGGAGGGGACACTTAGGGTAAGGTTTAGGGCAAGGTTTAGGGTTTGGGTTAGGTTTAGGGTTTTGGTTAGGGTTTGGGTAAGGGGTTAGGCTTAGGCTTATGGTACGGTTTAGGGTAAGGGTAAGTTTTAGGGTTTAAGTTAGTGTAAGGGTTAGGGGATAGGTTTAGACTTATGGTACAGTTTAGGGTAAGGGTTAGGTTTAGGGTTTGGGTTAGCATAAGGGTTAGGGTACGGTTTAGGGTAAGGGTTTCACCATTAAAGAACTCTTACATTCCTTCTATATTATCTGTCTCCATCCTTGCTTACATTAGGTAAGTCTCTCACTACCACCCCTCCACCCCCTTCTCAGTCATGTGTTCCGTTCTGTGTTGCGCATAGTGCTTCCGAAGGAGCGAGGTGGAAACCTTGTAACGCTCGGAGTTTCCGGACCCAGCTCTCATACTATCACCACAGAATGTATGGTGTGGTACAGTATGGGGTATATATAGCAGGCATAGGCAAACATGGGCCCTCCAGCCAGTCCAAAACACCTGTAGAGCCAAAGTTTGCCCATGCCTGGGATATAGTATTAGTCTTGCAGGCTCATCTAACGTGGAATAGACGGGTTATAACTAGCTAGCTAGCTAGCTATCTGCGGCAGCTCTGTCACATCCCCTATCTATCTATCTATCTATGAAAGAAAAGATAGAAAGATAGAAATAAATAAATAAATAAATAAATAAATAGTTGGATTGACTTTTGCTCTTGTTGTAAACCGTGTTGAGTCACCTACAAGGCTGAGAAATTGCGGTATACAAGCAAAGTAAATAATAAATAAATAGAAAGGAAAGATAGAAAAAAAGAAAGACAGAAAGGAAAGAAAGAAAAGAAAGGATAGAAAGATAGAAAAGATTGAAAAGAAAGATAGAAAGAAAAGATAGAAAAGAAAGAAAAGAAAAGATAGAAAAGATTGAAAGACAGATAGGATAGATAGAAAGGAAAGATAGATAGATAGAAAGGAAAGATAGATAGATAGGATAGATATGATACATAAGATAGAAGACGTGACAGAGCTGCTGCAGAGACAAGCAGGAAGAATTGCTCAGAGGCCACCACGAGGCCCAGTGTTGAATCTGCGTCAGCGAATGCGCGGCGCTTCTTACATCCGGGGTCTGGTGGCAGCCAGGCCTCGCATTCGCCGGCGCAGATTCGGCACCATAACAAACCAGCTTGGGAGCCTCGTCGTTTCCATGGTCGCGGCTGTTCCGGTCTCTGCGGCCTTGGGCCCTTCGTGGGGTGAGGACGAGGAGGGAGGCGTCGGGGGGCTGGTCATGCTTTCAGCGAGGCACTTAAGTACAAAGAGGGAGGTGGAATACATAGATTTCCGACATAGAGAGCTGGAGGGGGCTCCTGTATCTTCAGTGCTTGAGTAGAGGAGAAATGGCAGCAGGAGTTGTTTTTCACTCAAGTTGCTAGGAACAGCTGGTGACGTCCAGGCCTGGGCCAACTTGGGCCCTCCCTCCAGGTGTTTTGGACTTCAACTCCCACCATTCCTAACAGCCTCAGGCCCCTTCCTTAAGCGGCTGAGGGGGAAAAGGAAAGGGCCTGAGGCTGTTAGGAATGGTGGGAGTTGAAGTCCAAAACACTGGAGGGAGGGCCCAAGATCGCCCATGCCTGCTCTACACTCTAATGCAGTTCGAGACTACTTTGACTGCCATGGCTCAGTGCTCTGGAACCTTGGGAGTTGCAGTTCCCTCCTTATAAAACTACAACTCCCATGATTCCATAGTGTTAAGCTCTGGCAGTTCAAGTGGTGTCAAAGTGCATTAATTTTGCAATTTTGCTGCCTTAGGGGCAGAAGGCCCAGCATTTTATTTTACTATTATTATTTATTATTATTATTTACAGCATTTATATTCCGCCCTTCTCACCCTGCAGGGGACTCATGGCGGGTTACAGTGTACACATATAGGGCAAACATTCAATGCCAATTTTGACATACAACATATACAGACATACACAGAGGCTATTTAACTTTTTCTGGCCGCCAGGGGAGCTGTCGCGTTCATCGTCCATCTGCAATACTAATGAAGTACTTCCGCATTCCCCGCATGCTTTTTTTGCTGGAGTGCTTTGCTGGAGTCTTTTTTATGGCCTCACAAATTAGTTAATTTAGCCTCCCCACACTTTAAGGTGGTACCTAATTTTCCTACTTGACAGATGCAACTGTCTTTTGGGTTGCAAAGGTCGACAACAGGCTACACAATTGGTTGGAAACCCACTCCAACCCAGGCTGGCTTCGAACTCATGACCTTTTGGTCAGACTGATCTTAATGCAGCTGACACTCAGCCAGCTGCACCACAATCCCGGTGCTACCTTCAGCCTCCCTCCTCTCCAAAATATTCCTGGCTGCTGTGTTGCTCAGACCTGGAAGCAGACCCCTTTAGTTGAGTGAAATTTACTTATGAGCAGGTCTGCTATATTATAGAGACACACTATTAGAAGAGAGCCTCTAAGCAGGAAAGTAGAAGTGAAAAAATAGGCATCCCTTTCTGGTTGCTTTGACTCACTTAGAAGCATAGAATCGGAAGACACCTTGTGAGTCATCCAGTCCAACCCCCTGCCAAGCCCCCTGTGTTATGCAGAAATAATTGGTTTTTTTTTCTATTTTGACTTTGATTTTAATGCATTTTTAAAAATTGTGAGCTGTTTTAAGTCCCATTTTTTTAGGGTGAGTGGAGGGTGGATATTTGCATAAATAAAATGAGGAAGTAGAAGAGTTGCTGCAACTGTTGTTTCATAATGTATCTAATTCCAAAAACTATGCGAGTTCTAATGGTTAAGGATGAAGTCTGGTCGGCTTTTGGGCCTAGAAAAGTGTTGCGTCTTGATGTTTACATTTCTAATGTTTACCATCTGAACAAGATTGAGTAATGCTTGTACACAATTATAGTTAAGGACTAGATATGTACTGTAATTGATTTCATGCAGGTGAATAATTCTTGCAGTTCCGTTGAATCTGTCAGATTTTGAGAGGCATTTTCAGGACATTATGGGAATTCCTGTTGCCTCTTGCTGAAGTGTATTTTTATTTATATTTATTTATTTACAGCATTTTTACCCCGCCCTTCTCAACCCCCCCCCCGGGGGGGGGGAACGACTCACAGCGGCTAACAAAGGCAGAAATTTGATGCCACAAATCAATAACACAGTATATAACCATAAATATATACAGAGTTAAAACGATAGCAATTAATTATTACCAAATTATCATAACAGTCATTAAATTAAAAACAAAACAAATTAAACCCATTGATAGAACAATAAAACTGTATCCTCATATATATCGTCTTGCCAATCCATTTCCAGTCAAAGTGCTGCTTTATGTTTATTGTCCAAAAGCCTGGTCCCAAAACCAAGGTTTTAATTTCTTCCTGAATGCCAGGAGGGATGGGGTCGATCATATTTCATTTGGAAGCATGTTCCACAGGCGGGGGGCTACAGCCAAGAAGGCCCTATCTCTCGTCCCCACCAGCCGCATTTGCGATGTTTGCGGGAGCGAGAGCAGTGTCCCCCTGGATGATCTTACGTTACGAGGTGGGATGTAGAGGCAGATGCGGTCAGACAAGTAAGCTGAGCCAGAACCATATAGAGTTTTATAGGTCAAAACCAGCACTTTGAATTGAGCTCGGAAGTGGACAGGCAGCCAGTGGAGCTGACACAACAAGGGGGTGGTATGCTCCCTGTATGTAGCTTCTGTATACAGTTAAATAGGTTTTTTTTGGGGGGGGGGTTGTGGGGGGTGGGTGGGCATGATTTTAAGATGTACTTTATATGTTATCTCAATCACCAGCTTTGCTGGCAAAGTACCGCTTAAGTTCTGGCATCGTTTAAATTTTGGCAGTTGAAAGATGATGCTGAAAATAGCTGATTTTCTTATTTCATACATAGATCGTACTGAAAGTTGCCAAGTTGAGAGAAGGCTCCTTATGACAACTATTCCAATTTTGAAAGGTTTTTTTTTAGCTGCATTTCAGCTTTGTGAAGACAACTGCTATTGTGGGGGACCAAAGTGTATGGGCCCCTGTGTCCATTTCACTTATTTACCCCAGTGAACACTCCTTGAGGCACATAACCCTCCTCCTTCCCAGGCTACAAATCAAGCCTCCAGTTTCATATATAAGTTTCCTGGGATGTGGAAATGGAACTTGTTTCTCTTTTAGATCACTGATGAGAGATAAAGTCAGAATAAACTCCTGCCAGCCAGTTTAGGCCTCCAGGCCAGAGGTTTCTGTCCATGCCTTTTGCAATTGGTGTCATATTCTAATCCACCTACATGCAAATTTATGCAAGGATTTGTGTGTTTCATGTGTTCCAGCACATTGAAGTTTCTCTAAATTGCTGTACCAGTGTGGCATCATGTTCTGTTGCAAAACAGCACCTTAAAACTTGTGCTGCCAAATGGGCCCTTGCATTGCGAGAAAGTAAGGCCTCCAGATATGTACTGTGAAGCCAACTATGAAATGCAAACTGGCTTTGATAGGCTTTTAACCAGATCCAGCAGTGTTATGATGGTCTTAGGAAGATGTAAAACTGAAATTAAAATGTTCTTATTAAAATGTCATCGGCATGTATTTGTGGGTACGGTTCTGTGCCTTTAGGAGCAACCTTAGTTGAATACATAAGGGCTTGCTGGTGAGTAACTATGTATAGGATAGTGTTATCAGTCTTTGTAACATTTGTAACACATGTAGGATATTTCTCCTGCTTTTTCTCATGACTGCAGAATATAGGATCAGAAAGAATCCAGAGGTCATGCAGTTCATTGGCAATGGCACTAGTCTTTATATTCCCTAGACTCGAGGCAGCAAATCCTATCTGCAGGGTCAGTCCTGGTTAGTACTTGGATGGGACACCACCATGAATAGAAAGTGCTGCAAGTTATATATCAGAGAAAGGAATTTTAAAACCACTCTGCGCATCCTTTGCCTACAAAATTAGTATAAAATTCATGGGATCAGCATAAGTTGCTGAACAATTTGTAGGCACATGCTCACACAGATAGTTGAGATTCATTTGAGAAATGTTGGCAGCTTAAAGCATGGGCAGGAACCTTTAACTGGGGAGGATGATAAGCATTCAAAAATAAAAAATAAGAGGAAATTGTAACTGGAAGTGGCTAGTTTGCAACTTTCATTTTCACTTGTGTTGGATGGAGGTTGGATTTTTTTGAGTAAAGGAAGAAAAAAACCTGGCTTAGAATGCAGTATATCAGGCACTTTCTATGACGATGAGATATGTGTTAAATTGCTTACACCTAGGAAGCTCAAAGAAGCCATTATGCCACATGAGATTTTGGTGACTTATTCTGTTGTTTCTTCTGCACAAAAAAAAGCAAAGGTTTCAGCATCATAAGCGAAAAGTATTGGCAAAAGTCTGACTCTATACCAGGTATGGATAAACCCAGGCCCATGAAATGCTCTCCCTGGTGCTCCAGCAGCTCCTCCGTGGTCAGGAAGAGGCCGGCGCACTGGCTGGATGTGGCCCCTTGAGCTCTTTTCTCAGGCCCTCCCCCCCTCTCTCTCCATCCTATCCTTCCTTCCTTCCTTATCTCTTTCTTTCCTCCTTCCCTACCTTCCTTACCTCCTCTTTCTCCTTCCATCCTTCCTTCCCTTCCAACCTTTCGTTCTTCCTTCCTTGCCTTTTTCCTCCCTCCTTCCCTTCCTTCCCTCCTTCCTCCATCCTTCCCTTCTATGTTTTCATCCTTCCTTCCCTCTTTCTTCCCTCCCTCCTTTCCTTCCTTCCATCCTTCCCTTCTACCCTTTCATCCTTCCTTCCTTCCCTCCCTCTTCCCTCCCTCCTTCCTTCCACTCCAGAACACAAGGAAGCAATGGTTTCAAATGGCACTGAAATTGATTCGACTGAAAAGATTAAGAAGAACTTCCTGGAGAGTGGCATAGATTGCCTTAGAATGTGGTGGGGTCTCCTTCTCTGGAGGCCTTTCTTCAGGTGCTATCTAACAGGAATGCTTTGTTTGTGCCTTCTTGCATGGCAGGGGGTTGGACTGAATGGCCCTTGGGGGTCTCTCCCAGCTCTAGGATTCTATATCAGGAGTAGGCAATATGGGGTTTAATGAATACACTTTTTCTCCCCCATGCACCATCCCATCCTGACCAAGACCAACCCTTTTGGGATCCAAATGTTTCCTGTCTTTCTTCACTTTCTTCCTCCAAACGAGAAGAGGAAGGGGAGAAATGGGCAGGGAAGGGACTTGGGGAAAACACCGCTCCCAGCCCGCCCACCCCAGCCTGCCCACCCCACCCCAGCCCGCCATGCGGCCCCCATGTTAGAAAGTTTGCCCATGCCTGCTCTATACATCTACATATTCCATCATAATTCTAGTTTAATTTTGTAAAACATGCAATGGCATAAGTTTAAGTAGTTGTTGGCATTTTAAACTTGATTAATCTTGTATTAGGTAAATATGGAATTCCTTTGTGAGCATAATGGCCAAATGATACAGAAACCACATTGTAAGAGGCTAATAGTGAAGGTAGTGGTTTTATATATTTTTAAAGGTTTTAATGTATATATTTTATAATTCTGTTTTAAATGTTTATTGTAATTTTTACATTATTTTAATGGCATCAGATAGCTGCTTATGTTGTAAAGCCGCTTTGAGTCACCTTCGGGTTCGAGAGAGATGGGGTAGAAATATCACAAATAAATAAATAATAAGACAGCCTGTGGCTTCTGTAGATGTTGGACTACAAGCTTCCTCTATATATGAGTGTTGGCTGGATGGCTGAAACTGATGACAGCTGTATCTATTACCATTTGATGGGCCTTGAATTCCACCCACGTGTTGTAATCTGAATGCATTTGATTTACTTGGTGCCTCTCTGCCCACCTCAAACAATGTGTTACTTGAAATAGGGTTGGCTTTCCATGGCTGGATAATTGTTGTTCTGATACTCAGTGACCAGTGCTTATGTTTGTTTGATGGGGTTGGAGGAAGGACAAATCCCATTTGGCACAGATGAGCTTCAGCAGCCATCAGAACTGTGTGCAATTTTTATTTAGAAATGTATGTGATAAGACATTGAGTAGAGTTTGCCCTTGGGAGTTACAAAATTGATGCTCAGTTTTGCAATCCTCATACTTGCCTAAAATAATAAACATTTCAACAAATGAAATATGGAATTCTATTCTTGCTGTACAGGCTTCCAGTCCACTTATGCCATGATTTGCCTCAGTGTCTGTTAAAAGAAATAAAATGAGAAAGTCAATCCAGCCCCTTCTTTGACTCTTTTCTTTTTGGTAATTTGAGAAAGCCAAAGAAATTGAATGGACTGGCATATTTCTAAGACAGGGATGAGGAACTTTTACTCCTCTAAATGTTTTGGATTGCGTCTCCCACAATTCTTTACTATTTGACATTGCTGGTGGGAACTTTTGGGCAATGAAGTTCGAACTGTCTGGATGGCCGTGCTATAAGATCTTAATTCACTAATAAAATAGTGAATTAAGAAAGTGAATTAAACCTTACCCAGTGTGGTGTAATATTTTGAATTAAGAAAGTGAATTAAACCTTACCCAGTGTGGTGTAGTGTTTTGAATGTTGGATTAGGACTCTGGAGACCAGAGTCCTAATCCAAGTGGTCGGAAACCCACTGGACAACCTTGTCACATTCTATCAGCTTCAGAAGAAGATAACAGTAACCTCTCTCTGAACATATCTTACCAAGGAAACACTAAGATGGGTTCCCCCTAGGGATATCGTACATCTGAAATGATTTGAAGACACATGATAAAAAATTTGGCAAAGAGATTTGAATCAGACATTTTGTTAAAACTACTTGTAGTAGCTGTCTCAGTGTACCTGGTGTATAGGCATTTCAAAAATTACTGTCATCATATCTAAAAGACTTTTCTGAGTTTGAAATAAAGTAAAATATTCATAGTGAAGGTGACAGTTGATTGAGTGTACATCCCAGCAAACAATCTTGATTGTTTTTTTAAAGTTTGCTCGATCTGCACCAGCTCTTGTGTGTAGAATGTAGAGGAAAAGAAAAGAAAAGTGAACAAACAAGAAAGTAAAAGTGGCACTTTTATAGGATCTGTGATGTCAAGATAAACAAAATAGTCTTATTTTAGGCAGTTGCACCAGTCTTGTTTGCTAAACTCAGTTTTTGTTTTGTGTTCGAACAAACTGCGTTCATCACTTTTCAGAGCCAGCTTTGTGACTATATTCCAAAGAAAATGTGCTTAGGCAGGGAACTTGCTATCCTTCATGCCCATTTTCCTTCAGGGACTGACATATTTTCTTTGTTAATTCTGTTTAAAATATTCCCTAATAGGATTTTTCTGCCAGAGGACATGGAGCTTTCTGCTAATGAACTTAGCATTTATGATAAACTCTCTGAGACCATTGACTTGGTGAGACAGACTGGTTACCAGTGTGGTATGTCTGAAAAAGCCATTGAGAAATTCATCAGACAACTCTTGGAAAAAAATGAACCCCAAAGGGGACCTCCACGCTTCCCCCTCTTGATGTTTCTGTATAAGGTAAAGCATTTGTGAATGGCCTTATAGTTTTTTTGTGTACTTACAAGAGGGTTGGGCAAGATGTTGACCTCTGGGTGGTAGACTATAGATCCAATCAACCCTAGCCACCATAGTAAATTGTGAGGTGTCTTGAGCATTGCAATCCAGCAACACTGGAGGGCCATATGCTTCCCATTTCAGAAAGTGCACTGTAGTTTGATATCAACTCAGTCATAGAGCAGGCAGGCAAAGTATTGAATCATAGCAGTAATTTGAACAGTTGACTTTATTTTCTGGAAGGAGTCTTAGACAACACCCAGAAGTCTACAGGGGAATGACTTCAGTGTCTGGTGACCTGGTTTACATTGGTTACTCAAAGGTGATTGCATGTTTGTGTGCTGACCACTGCCATGCTGTTAAATATGCATGGGTGTATGGTACCTCACTATTGCATAGACCAGTGGTTCTCAACCTTGGGTCCCCAGATGTTTTTGGCCTACAACTCCCAGAAATCTCAGCCAGTTTACCAGCTGTCAGGATTTCTGGGAGTTGAAGGCCAAAAACATCTGGGGACACCAGGTTGAGAACCACTGGCATAGACAATGATATGACTGATACATGCCATTTCTTTATGTTATTTAATGTGGCAGAATAGTTTGGGCTATTTTTACTACAGCTTTTGAAATGGCCACCAGCAAACTTCATAGTTTCCAGGCTTGTGAATTAGTCAGTTAGAACGCCCTTTAAGGGGAGAGTCTCAATCTAAATACATACCTGGTTATTGCAGTGTCAACAGGCAAATGCTTTTCTTCCCTTACAGGGCCTGGTTACCCTGGGGTTAGTTCTGCTGACTGCATACTTCATGATTCAGCCACATACCCTTTCTGTGCCTGAAACGACTCTCTCCAGAGCGCATGTGTGGGGCTCCCTCATGAATCACATCCGGCTTCTGCCTTTACCCATTACGAAGAAGTATATGCTAGAAAGTAAGAAAATGATTTAAATATCAATTTAATTACACTTTGACATGCAGAAGTGGGGTGCGATAATGATTTATCAATTCTAATTAACACAAGGGAATAATAACCACAATTGACTCCCTCAACTTCTGTAAAAAAAACAAAACCCTGCATTTTTGTAAGGATCAACACAAAAAGTTCTACTGAGTTTCATTAGCATTTGTCTGCAGAAAGTTCTAATTGACTCTTCTACATGCTCAAAGGCTTTATTTTGCGTTCATAATAAAGTTTAGCGAATTGGTTCCAATGAACATGTTTGGACACATCAGCACACTGCGCTGTGGTGACTTGCTAGCCTGTTGATCACATCTTCTAATAAAAGAATCTTCTGAAAGGCCACTGAAACAGCACAGACACATCTTTATTGGTTGGGAAATTCTTGTTTGTTTAGAATATTTGAAAAAGAGAAGCAACCTATTATGGTGACTCTCTTGTATAATAAATTTGCACCTTATAAGGACAATAACAGACCACATTTATGTTTATGCCAATCTGAGATGTGTTAAAAGAGAAATTCTAGATTGTTTAGGTCTGATACAAATTGAAATCTCAAATATACTCTTGTAGAAATAAGCCAGGAAATAGATGCACAGGATTAATTATTATTTAAATTTTGCAGGTTAAACATTTTCTTGTATATTTCACTTATTGTACAGATTAAGAAAAAAATCCAATAAGTTGACAAATTTATCCACAGTTTCCACTGGTATTAAGGAAGAGTTCAAGTAATCCCTTTAGCAGCAGAATCAGGATTTCATATTTTCTTCAGTAGAATGTAGAAAGCTTCCATATCAATTACATGTCTATAAAGGACACTGCTACAAGTTACTGAGGAATTATTTGTAGCCATTATATTTGTGTATGATTAATATAACGCTTAGGAATGTAAAATTATTCAAAACTGGAATTGTTATTTTTCCTCAGTTGTCAAGGTATTTAAAGGATTTCTTTAGTTGCCCTTGGGATATTTTAAAGAGGATATTAATAATGATAAAGTGCCTCCCCCCTCCCCACTTTTTTGTTGTTGAAAGGCTTAAAATATACAAATCAAGAAATGAATGGTTTAGGTTTCTGTCAGCAGAAGAGTGAGAGGCACTCAAATGAAATTCAACAAAAGATTTGCCTTTTCTAGTAGAACTTCATTTTCAGTTGCTGCAGAAAATTTTCAAAGCAGAAAACCTTGACATAATAAGCCACCATTCTCTAATAGAAAGCACAGATGAGTGTGGGCACAAGTGTCTGAATTACGACTTGCTGAAAGGTCATTGTAGCTCCTCTTGCTTTCTTAGAAAAATTGATTTAAAATCTTATTGCTGCTACATACATTGCTTAAAAGGTAGTAAGAGGAAATGCGTTCAAAAATGTAAAGGCATTGAAATTGCTACATTGGAAATCATTTGTAGACTTTGCTATAATGATGTCAGGGAAGAGGTTTAAAGGAAACATACCTTTGGAAAATGCAGTCTTTTAAGTGTAATGGTTTGATGTGTGTGTGTGAGTACATATATGACATATGGGCCAAGGCCAATGTAAATGGCAACTCGTCAAAAGTCTTGGCAAAAGCCACTGTTCTTAGCTTGCTGTCCCTTTCCCAGCCTTGCATTGTTTAGCTGAATTGCTTCTAGCCTGGTAGGTCACTTCCTGCAACACTATTTTCCAAAGGTGTGTTCCCTTTGAACCTCTTCCTCGACATCATGATAGAAAATAATAAAAAAGAGGAACGACTGCTGCCATGTCAACATCTGTGTTCCAAATGGAATATAAAGAACAGCACAAAAAGTAAATGTAACTAAGCAGCTTTGTTTTCATAGAGAGGAATCTTGTTCATGAGCTGACTCATGCTAGATGTCAAGTATCTGCAAAACATTGTTTAGATGTGTCTGTTGGTGCACTAAAATGTCAATATTTAATGAGCTTAATTAGCCCCTGAAGAACATAGAAGTTGGCCATTCTTGCTTTTTGAAAAAGGTTGTCATTGAAATTCATTTATTTATAGATGATGATACAGTATGATCGCTAAACTTTTAAGAAAGCCCATAACTATCAGTCATTACTAACATCAAATGAGTGGGTTAGAATTATATAATTAACCCCAGAAGTTTCCTGTTACCCAAATGTTTCTGATACCAGTAACAGAATCTTGCTTCAGAGGGTGGTAGCATACTCAGGAAGCCTTAATCTCTGACTGTTAATATGTAGTATTTGCAAGCCTTGCCAGACAGGCTGATTTTCTTTTTTGCGGAAAGAGGCTTCCTTGTTAGGAATACTTACCTTTCTAATAGTAATTTAAAGTTTTAACTATTATTGGCTGCCAAGGGAGTTGGCACATTTAAATCAGAAGATGGATTAAATGTTAGCAAGTCTGTTAACCTGTTTTTAGATATTCTATGCAGTTGCATCAGCCACCTTTGGAAAAAAAAAGGTTAAGTTAGTGGAATTTCTGTATATTGTCATTGGCTTTGCACATCTTATCCAAAATGTTGAAAGTACATTTTTTTCTGGAATTGACACTCATGGGTGTTGTAGTCAAAAATTCTTTGTGACCATTTCATTATGCTAACTATTCCAGTATCATAAATATTGCTTACGTGAAAGCTTGCTATTTGAAGACCATATGCATCGTTATCGTGTGAAACCCAAAGGGAAACAGGTTGTTCTTAGTACTGGACATGTTCTAGTTGTATGTGTAGGTTTTGTGAATGAGCTGTCTCTTTTAGGCAAAGTGTAACTTTGGGGCTACCTGTAGCCTCCCCTCCCCAGTGTTTTAGTATTTGTCAGCCCCTCTAGACTTTTGTGGCTGCCCTTTTCTGGTCAAATATGGGAATATGAGTATCTCCAGGAGAACCTTCCTTCCATAGTTTGATTTTATTTTGTATAGTTTTGGGGATGGCCAGATAGTTAGCCTCAAGTCTTGCCATGGTTGCCCTGTTTTGAGAGGGACAGTATTATTGAGACATGTCAGCAGTATTTGTTCCTTTCACATTCTGAATGCCTTGGACATTTCAAATACAGGTTTAATGTACATTGACATTTGTTTCTCCTTGAAGATTCCTTGGACAACCAGAAATTGAATTTTGCGGTGAAAGATAGGGTAGATTTCTGGCAAAGATCCTTATTTTTTTTTTTTAGAGTATGTGATATGAAGTAGTGAGAAAAGAACAGCTCAGAAATTTTCATATGGCACATTACCAGTGTGTCTTGTCAGCAATATCTTGCATCAGATGCCTGAAACAATAGAAATGTTAACAGTAGGGTTCTTAGATTTCAGAAATCTTGGATTGTACCTCCAAGCTTTAATTATGGACAAGGGTGTGGTTAGCATGCTCTGTCCATTTGGAAGAGTTCGGAGTCCCAGTCTCACCCCCATACTGCACAGCCTAGTTTAGCCTGAGACATGTTTGACTTCCAGCCAGCTTTCAGGGCACTCAATCCATTCCATAGAATGGCCTCATTGGAGTTTTCTGTAGAACATATAGAAGGATTTCCATCACAATTTTGTTTGTTTTTGCTAAGCCCCACCAAAACATTCTGGTGCCTGAGGGGGATGTTGTCCATTTAGACTAGCCCAGCTGCTTCATCTTTTCATTAAAGTGAATTATAGCTTGATGCACTAGGGCACTCTTTGGATTTTTGTGATATTGCCAAACGTGCTGAGTCTCACTGCAAACAGACTATTATTATAACCTGCCTGAGGCCTAATAGCCAACACATGTGTTGACACACATTTTTCAATGGCCAGGCTAGCTTTGTAGAAATGAGAAGAAAATGTTCTTAACATATGGCTTTATTTTAGCTTATATAGACAGTCCCCAAGTTACAGACAAGATAGGTTCTGTGGGTTTGTTCTTAAGTTGAATTTGTATGTAAGTCAGAACAGGTACATTTAAATGTAACTCCATTCATATGTATATATGTATGTTTTGAATAGCACAGAGAAGGGTTAATGTCCCTTTAATGTTTCTTTTGCTGTCTGTGCCTCTGTTCAGAACATTTCACTTCGCTTTATGTCCCTGTGATAATTGGATTTTGAAGAAATTGGTTTGTTGTGGGAACAAGGATTGGTGAGAAAGCTTCAGTAGAGACACTTTTTTTCTCATGAAACTATCCTAAAGCCACCTGCAAATATGGTGTTTTACTTCTCCTAGCCCCTCAGAGACCCTCCCTGCTCCCCAGTTGGATGAAAATAAGATAAAATGGTAGCTGGAAGTGAAATTGTATCACTTCGGGTGCATTAAAATAGGCTTTTATAGACTGCTGGGCAGTTGCCCACCACTGATTTAAATGTCAAAATAAAAGCTATATACCTCTTTCTCAGTGACTCTGTAGCATGATTCAGATGATTATTCATTTTTTGGTTCAGGCATTTTCCCCTGAAGAAAAAATACTCTTTACAGTAAGGATGTTCTATTTTACTGTCAGGTTTTCTAGCAGATTGTGAGTCAGAGCTCAAATTTATGATTGCATAAGTCTAGTATTATAGTTGTGTGAATGTTAAATCAATAGTGCATAGTAGATGGCTGTGTTTTGAATTGGAGCATGTCAGCTAGTGGGAAGAAATTACTCTTTCCTGGAGTGATGTTGGTTGCTGGAGATCATATTGAAGTTATCTTTTCTTGGCAGAGGCTTTTGTTCTGTCAGCTCTCCAGATGCTTTTAGTTTATTCTTTAAAGAATCTTAGTATTGTATCTATGGAACTGCATAAATCCAGGAGAAGCAGACACATCCATTACACTTTGTAACACGATTTTTGTTCCTGGGTTATAAATGTCATTTTCTAATTGGTTCTATCATAAAAAACATGGAAAAGGTTAATTAAACTGCAGAAATTTTGTTGCGGTCTGCACGTTGAAAGGCTAAAATGGCATTGACTGAAGGAAATAATAGCCACAAAAACGAAGTTTCTGGACTGTAACAACTACTCTCAAAGCACTGCACGAGTAAAGAGGAAATAACACTTTCAAACCAGG